AAAAAATAGTTCTAATAATTACTTCTTAATTATAGTTGCATTAAAATGTCATCATGTATATTAAGATATTGATGAATGTTTTAGTATGATTTTAGTCGCTATATATTTTAGGAGTATAGTTTTTGAATTAATTTGATTAAATTTTTATAAAAATAATCTTATTATATCTCAGACAAAAATCCAATAATAATAATAATAATAATTGTGGCGATCAACTTTCGAAACTCTATCGCTGCTGGTTCGCCAGGTGTATAAAGTAAAGTTGCCGCCGCGCGCGCTTTTCTTGCGCAATAAGAAAGACCGAGAGCGAGATGTTTTTTCGAACGTTTAATACGAACGGCAAAAGCCGCGACGTAAATCAAAATCCGCATACGAACCTCGCCGATATTATTATTAAATACAAAACATAATCCGCGCCCGGTTAGAACACTACAATTGAATAATAAGCGAGAGAGCCCCGCGAAACCTTCGCTTATAAAACGACTCTCAGTTCGGTTCGGTTTTGCAACTTGCTTAAAAATCACAATGAGCACCGTTCAACTCTTAAGTATTACGAAATCAACTTGTAGAAACAGAAGTCGAAGTATATAGCCCGAGACATTTAAAGTTTAATCGATGGCACATGGTTTGTTCTAGATACAAGAAGCCGATAGTGATCTTTTTAATTTGACGGTTTTGCTCTTTATTTTATTTCAAACCTAGTCAAGACTTGATTGTTTGAAATTGTATCCTTGAAAATTTTAATGTAATGTAGCAGATCTTTTCAACCGTAACTAACTTTTAATTTCATTATATTTCAAAATAACTTATTGAACTACCTTATTTTATATTCAGAATCTATGATAAATATGATTCATTTCGATTTATATTTTTTTAAATTTTCCGGTTATTATCAAGATAATATTCGAGATACTACTTCATTTGGTATATCCAAAACGGATTTAAAACAGATTTTTAATTTCCGGAGATGATTTTTGATGAATTATTAGGATTAAAATTTTTAACGATTTATAAGTGCCATAAAATGACAACACATTGATAAGTTATATACAGTAAAACCTCGATATAATTGATTAATACGGAGATGGCAAAGTCCGTTATATCAAAAATTTGCACATAAATTCCAACAGCTATACATCATTGCGTTCTTCTTTCTTCAAAATCATATAATATTGAAAATATAAAAAATTAATCTTCATTTTTTAATAATTATCCCTGAAGATGGGACGTATTGACCGAAACATGTAAATAATAAGTAATAAAATTAGTTGGCTTAAACAGTTTTTACTTAGGAAACGTTTTATCAGTGTTTTTTCATGCTGATCCAATTTATATATATAAGTTTTCACTTAATAATTATCCCTGAAGATGGGGTATGTTGAACTAAACCTGAATGTTTCTAGTTCTAGGTCTAGTGTTAGTTCTACTTTTAGTTCAATCAAGATATATTACAATATAGGACTGAATAACAATTAAAACTAGAACTAATAGTAGCATTAGAACTAACACTAAACCTAGAACTAGAAACATTCGGGTTTAGCCGTACGTCTCTAAAGACGGCTAAACCCGACTGTTTCTAGTTCTAGGTCTAGTGTTAGTTCTACTTTTAGTTCAATCAAGATATATTACAATATAGCACTGGATAACAATTAAAACTAGAACTAGTAGTAGCATTAGAATTAACACTAGACCTAGAACTAGAAACATTCGGGTTTAGCCGTCTTTAGAGACGTACGGCTAAAGCCGAATGTTTGTAGTTCTAGGTCTAGTGTTAGTTCTACTTTTAGTTCAATCAAAATATACAACAATCTGGCATTGAATAGCAATTAAAACTAGAACTAACTTCAGGCGCACGGCTAAACCCGAACGTTTCTAGTTCTAAGTCTAGTGTTAGTTCTAGTTTTAGTTCAATGCAAAATATACAACAATCTAACCCTGTATAACAACTAAAACTATAACTAATAGTAGCATTAGAACTAACACTAGACCTAGAACTAGAACCATTCTAGTTTAGCCATACGTCTCTAAAGACGGCTAAACCCGAATGTTTCTAGTTCTAGGTCTAGTGTTAGTTCTACTTTTAGTTCAATCAAAATATACAACAATCTGGCATTGAATAACAATTAAAAATAGAACTAACACTAGCATTACAACTAACACAAGACCAAGAACTAGAAACATTCGGGTTTAGCCGTCTTAAGAGACGTACGGCTATCCCGAATGATTCTAGTTCTAGGTCTAGTGTTAGTTCTAGTTTAAATTTAATGAAAGATATAGACTGAATAGATAACTCTGGGAATATCTATATATATTGTTTAATAATAGAGTCTTTAATTTAGCATTAATTTTTTTTTAATTCGAAATATATGTTTATGTAAAAAAAATAATTAAAAATTTTTTTATGGTTTTTCGAAAAAAATAATCTCAGATAATAATATAAATAATGCAGGAGCCGGATAAGAAAACGAAACTGGTTCACATAAATATACATGCTAGGCGCTTACCGCCACGTTGTAACTCTTCTTTTTCTTTTACCACCACTTCTCTTTAACTTTGCGATTCCCCAGTTTTCGTTTTTACTTATTCCTTTTTATTTTATTATTTTTTTTTTGGTTTCAAAAGAACTTCTCGATACCTCAAAGACGAGAAGTGGTATTATAATAATTAAGTAAAAACTCGCGAGGCGTTTGTGTACGCGCTAGAAAACGATCAAAAAGAAAATTTCGTTTTTTTTTTGCTTTAACTTTAACAGAAAAAAAAATTGACCACGTCGGGGCCATCTCTTGCACACACACCAGTACAGGACGTTCACCGTTTAACCATTTTTTTTTCTTATTTTTTATTATTCTTCTTCTTAAGAGGTACTCCGAACTCCTCTGTGAAACGCGGTTTAAACGAGAAAGAAAGAGAGAGAGAGAAAGAGATTGAGGGCCTCGGAGTGCGCGCGGACTTGCAAGAGCAGTTTACGTTAAAAATATAAACTGGTGTTGAACAGGTGCATCAAAAGCACCTGCCCGATGACCGACTCGAACTTTGTGTGTGTGTAACGGCCGCGGCGAAAGCACACCGTAAAAGAAGGAGGAACATGAGTTGGTATAGGAAGAAGAATAAGGCTTTATTATACTGAAATATCAGAGGTTTTGGGGTTGCTAAAGATTTTCATCTCTTATCTAAGCCAAATTTATGGGTGGTATAAAGGAAGAGATCTGCAAAAAGTGTCAAAACGTTGGCAGAATAAAAAATGTGTTTTGAAAATTTTTTTGATGGAATATGTAAATATGTTCTTAACATTGCGGTTAATATTTGGATTCTATCACTCAACTCGTCTAATACAGGACGTCCGGCAAACCAACGTCAAGTCAAGCATATTAAATACCCGGGCAACAAGAGTATAATAAGTAATTTTAAACATGATCAACAAATAATCTTTATAGAAAATAATCCGCTCGCTCAGGAAATCCGCCAGAGTTTTGTTATCAATATCTTTTCTTTAATACTTAATTAACATAATAAACTTTAGTCGTCTTGCCAAAGTTATCTTTGACCACTTTGAAACTTCATTACATTTTTCATACACATTTATTTGTTTTGCGATTCTGGGGTTGCTGTATGAAGCGGCTGAAGGTAACGGTTTTTGTTCAAAACGTTTATTGTTTCAATACCAACCTTAATTATTTACTAACCAATCGGACCCGAGATGTTGCTAAATAAGCAATACGTCGCTAAGTGAAAACTAACAATCCGTGTATGCAAAATGGTCAGAATTTATTACTAAAATCGACGTAAAATCTTCAAGTAACAAACAATTTCTAAGAACATCATTTTTTTTTGAAACATTTGATCTAAAAATAAATTATTTTCTTTTTTCAGACTCGCATAATATTGAAAATATAAAAAAATAGATCTTCATTTTTTAATAATTATCCCTGATGATGGGATGTAAGACTGAAACATGTAAATAATAAGTTATAAAATTAGTTGGTTTAAATAGTTTTTATTTAGGAAACTTTTTATCAGCGTCTGTTTATGTTGGCCAAATACTGTTGGACACTGACAAAACTTTTAGTAAATAAAAACTGTTTTAGCCAACTATGTTATTTCTTATTACTTACGTGTTTCGGTCAATACACCCCATCTTCAGGGATAATTATTCTGTTGTCTTATTGTATAAAGGAAAATTTTTCAATAATTTTAATTCTCTTCAATACATTAAAGTATTTTGTTGCGTAAAAAAATCTTTTCTGTTCGATGTGGTTTTGATCATTATCTCGGTTTGTTTAAAATTATCAAAACCACAAAAGAAAAATTCATGGTTATGTTTATCAACATATTATAATTTTGTTTTAAAATATTCATATAAAATGAAATAAATTAAATTGAACTGTGTTATGAAATTTATATTAATTAATTTTAATAACCAAGTATGTATATAATATATATATACTGTATTAGTTTGGATCGAAGTTAACTCTGTTGGTAGGCGGAGCTGAATCTCCCCAATTAGAGTCCAGGCTCCGTTCTGGGCGTATCTCTCCGGACCAATACGAAAGGGGGCAAAGCGTTTCGCGGTCATCTCTGTGACCCGGACGCTTGGTGTTCAACATTGCCGTTCGTGTTCAGCATTGGCGGCAAGGCTATTGTTTTATTGACGGATAAAGTGGGGGCAGAAACAGAATTTTGACCGCCTGTATTCTCGGTATTTTATTCGCGCAGACTCCGCTCCACCAACTACATTCTTGGAAAAGATTTAGATGAAACGATCATCTTAAGAGACATGATTAAAACATGATTTTTAATACTGGAATTTTATGGCAGAAATTTTGGCAGAAATAAAATCTCCTCTTTACGTTTCTTTTGAAAAGTATAAACATAAATATGAAGTTTAAAGAATTGTTAGTTGCGGAAATATAGAGATAAATAACCTTGCCGAGTTATTTTAAACCAAGGCAGGAATGTTAATGTTTACAAAAATCGTCCAATACCGATTTCTTTTATTTTAGGTGGTTATGGCCGCAGCCCCGCCTGCCCCCCAACGGAGGAGATCAGAGATGACAGTTCGCCACCGCCAGGACCTCCACCCACTATGTTCCATTTACCAAGAAGTCCCACGTATCACCTAAAAGATGGTAAGAACCACAATTTTTTAATTTAATTATCCACCTAATCAAACATTTTCATTTTCTTCATCTAGGATATATTAAAGGTTCGTGTCCTCCGAGTGAAACGGGGACTTACAGCGGCTTAGAAGGATTACCCGCAATGAACACCGAAGATCAAACCCACTTTTTAGCTCCAAATCAACATTTCGGCGGCGACGAACACGAATATCAATCGTTAGATCATCAAACGCAACCGTACCTGGAAAATTCACCTGAATTTTATGCAAATAATCCACTTATGGAAACCAAATATAATCCCCATCCATACATGAAGAATTATCCAAGAGGTAAAAACAAAACTTTAATTTCTAATTAACATAAAAAACGTTTTGTTCTTGTTTTGATTAGGAACCGGAAGATATAATGATGGTTATAGTGAGACTTACCTCAATACATTCGATGGAACCCCATTTCAAACAGTACCAAGTACCCCCGGAAATGGTCCCGATCAATGGACACATCCGGAAATGGGACACTTAACGCATCCTCACCCACATTCTCATCCCGCTTTTCATCCGGCTGGAATGACCGGAAGAGATCTTTTGGGACAACTTGGACCTGATACAAAACCAATGATTCAAAATGGTGTTTTGGCAGGGTATCCAAGTAATGCAAATGCAGGAGGAGCTTGTTTTACCGGTAAGAAAACACCTACTAACTACAACAATCATTGAAATTAAATTTAAAAGTATTCTTGACAGTATTTTAACTTTTTTGTTTGTTTGATTTTTTTCGAAAAATAGTTATTGTCTTTGGTTGTGGAGTTAGTTTTAAAATATTAGTGGATATACTAAATTTTTATCAATTATGGACTTTTTGATGATTTATCTGTAACCCTTGAATAGCTGCAAAAAAAAAATTCGCATGAAGTGAAAAAATGTTGACAATGTTTGGATTTGGAGAAATGTTTTGAAGTATAACTGCAAGAATGTCAATTCAACAAGACATTTGGAGAAATGTTAACGAAGACTAAAGCAAAAGAAAACTTTTGGCGGCTAGTTTCGCATAGATCATATTACATATAATTGTTTGGTATGAGGTTGATTCATCAAAGAATCCTTATTACTTGGTCTTATTACTTGTTACGTGGTTATTAATGTTATGTCCTCAATTAATGTCCATCATTGAAATTATCTCAGTTATTATTGTTATTATCTCATTAAATGTGTGTCTATACCTAATGTATAGATTGCACGTTTCTATATGTATTGCTTTTTCATGGTTTCTATAGCACTGAGGTTCACTGGGTGAGCAAAGAATGTTACATTCGGAAGGAGCATATGAAAATATTTTGATTTGATACTAAAACTTGATCAAAACATTTTTTTTGGTTTTATGCGCACAAAATCATAAGTATTACACTTTTTAGTGTAAAAAGCTGTAATAAAACTATAAATCATAACAAAAGCTTTGAATCTTTGAAAGATACAGTCCATGTACGAGTACAAAATGCGCCGAACAAAATTGTCAACTCTATTGGAACGGATTTCTTTCAATGCGCATGCGTCAAGTAACGAGAAAATATATTTGTTCCAGACTATTGAATGAATTTGAATAATGACGGATGGGTATATGAAGCAGTCCGTCGAGCGTTGGAAGTCTTGATTATAAGACCGATCTACTTCATTTAGAACGGAATTTTTTAACTGCGTCTTATCATCAACTGATGGTCAAATTGCCGTTGAGACAAGTAATTTGAACTATATACAAAGTACTCCAAATCGTTATACAAACTTGTGCTAGACACGTCTTTACAGATACTTTCTTTTGATTGGGTTACTGTAACATTTGATGTGATCCTTCCATCATTTCATAGCTTTTTAGCAAAAGAACATTTTTTTCACAAAGTTTCCTCAATATATCCTAATGTATTTATTTGGGAATTTAGCATCCTCCTTAGGTAGATGTCCAATCACCAATAATATCATGCATGAACATGTTGTACATCGTTTTATCATGAACATAATCTTACTGATAATTGCGCCATTTTCATGTTCTTGGACCGTATTGCCACAAAATCTTGTAGTTTTTTGTAATTTTCTTATAATGAGTTCAAGAGTCTTATTCTGTCTACGTGGATATCTTAGGAATTGTAATATATACCATGTATCTATTAAATCTGAGGGTTTTATTTTGCTTAATTTGAGTGGCATAAAAGTTTTAATACATATTCGCATCAGAATTTGTTCTTTTATGTGGTAGTCAAACTCTAAAATTCTCTCTTAATGTTCATTGCAATGTTCCATAACTTTTTTTGGAACTTATGTGATCCAGCACATCTCTAGAATTATACAAATTATATGGTATTATTAATTTTACGAACCTTAGATGCTGCTTTACCACTGACACTCAAGGATATTTGTGTTAGATGTGCTAAATGGTCTAAATCTATTTGTTGTGTTCACTAAATTTCAAAAAAGATTTTGTTTATCGCACTTAATACATATTTTTACTAGTAAGGTTATAACTTATAACACCAGCTTCCTCAAGAATGTGTTATTCACCTAAATCAGCATGAGCATACACTTTGCTAAAATTAAAAACAACAGATTAGAGAATTCAACAACTTTGGATAGATTCTTATTGATGGGTTACCCTTCACAAGTTTCATAGAAAGTAAATGAAATAACACTCTGAAAACGCCTCATTATACCTATAATAATAAATTCAGCCGCATTTCTAAAAACATTCCATAATTTATGGAATTATATGTTGAAATGAAATGTTTTTCAAAATCATCTGTTTTTATAACAATCTAAAAAATAATTTACAAAGTAGTGAAGGTAACGGTTCTTTTAAACACATTCATGTATTTCTTAGAAAAATAATCGGCTGAGCGAGTGAAATGCAGCAATGAGCATAATAATCAATCTTGCTATTGAAGCGATGGAACTTGTTTTGAATAACACGCTTAAGACTATCATAATTTTAACTCCCGTTTAACATTGGACATATTAAATGCATATATTACTAACACTTTTTAAAAATATTCAGGTGTACATTCACTATTTAAATCATGGGTTAAAACGATCTTTATACCGTCTATCTCTGTTAAAAGAGGATGTTCATAAATATTGCGCTTGGAACCCAGATCAAATATTAATGCTAAACGTATATATTAAAAGATAAATGTCTCAATGCTTTGGTTTCGGATCTTACTGCGTTATCAGCCGAATCCAATTACGTCAAAAACTTCAATCTTAATGATTAAACATTGATCCAGAAAACTTTACGTTTTTATTCAAACGCAAAAAATACGGCTAATATAGGAAACGATTACGGCCGAGGCACTGCAATTGAGATCTTCAACATTTACTTAAAATGTTAAGTACTAGTTATCCAACCAAGTTATGCAATTAGTGTCACCATCAGTTACCCATATTACTTTTTTCACAGAAACCTTTTTGCTATAACGGGAAGATTTTCCAATTGCAGGATAAGATTTCCACTGATTTGACAAACATTCTAGAACAATAGCAGATTGTGTGGCAGTTTTAATCAAAAGAGCTAATCATCAATAAGTAGACTAAACATACCATCATATCATCAATTAAAACCATATTCTGAAAGTGCAGAACCGATAATCCAAGCTGCATTTATTTAAACCATCTGCACCTCAAATTAACTAAACGTACATTGGATCGCTATTAAACAATAAAAAAAGGATTCTGATAATTAGTACTGTGAAGCATCATTAAAGATATTTACCTATCACTATGTAATATCACAAAGTAATCATGTAATAGAGATTCAAGGATGACTTGGAGCTTACACATCAACAACTAACTTAACCAGAGGTAGAACAGACTGCGTGAGTTGTATCCATTAATCCATCGCAACTTAGAGCTGAGACTTCACATTTTGTTGTACAAAACACTGACTCACTAACAAGTGATGCGAGCGGATGCGCTCTAGTTTGTTCAAAATGAACAATTACGTAAGGTGCTAAGCTTGGAGCCGATTACAGACTTTATTTATCGGATAACCAGTTATTTTAGTATCAACTAATATTTAAATTTGTTGTTGGGTATTTAAATTTTAAATTGTTTTTCCCATATAAATTTACAACACTTGATGTGGAACGGCTTCTTGTTTCATGTCAATCTCGCTTTAATTTCAATATTTTTCTGATTGAGATTTTAACAAACAATTAAGTTTCTCTTTTTAATGTTCTAAAGTATAAAACGATGTTTTTTCTTTTGTATTAATAGGAACTGGTCCCATTCAATTGTGGCAATTTTTATTAGAATTGCTAACAGATAAATCGTGCCAAGCTTTCATTTCGTGGACGGGTGATGGTTGGGAATTTAAACTAACGGATCCGGACGAAGTGGCGAGACGCTGGGGATTACGCAAAAACAAACCGAAGATGAATTACGAAAAATTATCGCGGGGTCTTCGGTATTATTACGATAAGAACATCATTCATAAGACTGCGGGAAAGCGCTATGTGTACCGTTTCGTTTGTGATTTACAAAATTTACTTGGGTAAGTTCAAACAACCCAATTTTTGTATTCAAATTAATTTATTTTGTGATTTCATTTAATTTCAGACATACTCCCGAAGAGTTACACGCAATGGTCGATCTCAAACCAGAAAAAAAAGATGACGACTGATTATTAAATGATCACAAATAATCAGTATGTAAAGAAGAATTTTGCAGAGTGTCGCCAAAGTCGAACAAACAAAGCCCAAAAGAAAGTCCTCCCCGGTGCCTGAACCTTAAAAAATAAACAACAATAAAAATTATCTGAAATGATCCCTCAAACAAATTGCTCATTAGTAAGAAGAAGTATATAAAAAAGGAAACAAACAGGAACGGAATAATATTCATGTACGATACTTATAACATTTTCCTTTTTTTTGCAATTTTATCTTTTTTAACCCAATGAAAAAATCGTTACGTGTGATTTATTATTAATTAAATAAGTTTAAAGTGTATAAATAAATTAGGACACTGTCTCTCTATCTTTTTCTTTTTTTTTTCACTTTCAATGTAAATATGTATGTATTATATTCATATTAAAAATTTGCGTTTCATTTTGTTCGTTCATTTTACGTTCGTTTCAAATGTATGGTATAATACATATGTATGAAAATCAATTATTTTTTCTTTTTTTGAAAATGGGGGTAGTAAGTTATTATTTTTTTAAATATAATTATAATTACCTTCTTCGAACTGTCTGTAAATATTATGATGTGATAAGTAAATTTTTCAGATAGTGATAAAACGTCTGACTTTCTAAATAAAAGAGTTTACTTTTTAACGAATGGGCGGTTTTTTTAAATTATTTAAAAAGATGTTAAATATTTAAAGAAATAAACACCATCGTTAAATTATTTTTATATTTATATAAAAGAAAGCAAAAATTAAAATCTCAATGTATTTATATGGGACGATTTAAAACTAGTGTATCAAAACGTGACTCAAAAACACTACTTTTAAGACAGCCTGTATGTTACAACTTACAGAAAACCATCTGTGTTTCCTACCAAATTCTATAAAAAAAAAACTATTTACTATATTATTAATTAATTGATTTAGATAAATTTGTACTTTGTCAATTACACAAAGAAAAGAATAAACAGAAAACAATAATCGTTCTTCCCCTTACTGTTTAACTAGTGAAATAGGTAAATGTTGAAACATTTTTGTATTGAAAAACATTTCTAAAAAGCAAAAGGCACTTTGTCAAAAAAAAATTTATAAACAAAATTATTTTGTTGATCCCCAGTTAAAACAAAACGTTAAATTTGTATAAATAAAAACAAAAATGATCGTTGACTTTTGAATGTGGTCTCAGTTATAAAATAATGTTTTTTTTTTTTAATTAATTAACGTAAGTTATTTGAAAGCACGTGAGCTGTGCGGTTCGGGAGCCTCGTTCAAGGGGCCTTCGTCTCGACCGTGTTTATATCATGTTTTATTCATACGTATAAACTATGTATTAAAGATAAAAAGATGTCTAAATAAAGATGATACAAAAAATATATAAGCAATATATGTTTTTGCTTTTATTTCAAGTTAATTTCCAAAATATTCACTTTTTAGGACTTAGAAATAATGTAAAGATCGCTTTTTGAAATGACCAAATAAAAATTGGACGAAGATAACGTTTAAAATTTAAACTACAAATGCCATCTATTAAGTAAAACTAAAAACAGAAGTAGTACAATTTAGAATAACTGTGGAAATCTTTGATTTTTGAATTTTTGGGATTATAATGCACATATTTCGTTTAATTCTCACGTAATAGATTCTACGCAACAGATGAGCGAAAGATTTATTGTTATCTAAAGAATATGGTTGGCAGTTCAAATGTGTAAAGAAAGTTGCCTAACAATCAATGTAAACTGTTTTATCAAAATTGGGGAATCCCCAGAATTAAGGAATTTATAAATTTATGTAGTTCTTAACTGCTATCAACGTCTTTATTGATGGATTTTCCTTTGATTCATTTAATTTTTTTCGAACGGGAGATCTTTACGTTTTGGTGTATTAAATTTCTTATTCATTGTACTTTGCATATCTTTGATACCACTAAATTAAGAGAGTGTGCAGCATAAAGAATGTATATGGCCTTGTCACATTATTTGGCAAATAAATGAGTGTATTGAACTAAAAATAAAACTATTCTAGCACGCTGGAATAAGATATGTATTACTGACCTCTGATCGCTTGTAGATACTTGTTCGTGTGTGTCTTCTTCCTATACACTCCTAGTTCTATGTCCCCATCGGTCTCCCTAGTGACCAAAACATCCAGGAAAAGTAACTATTTTGCAGCTTCTGTTTCCATAGAAAATTTGACCATGGGATGTTGCGAGTTTAGGTAGTCTTAGAATTCCTGGAGAAGCTCTTTTCATGCTGCCAGATCACGAAGGTGACGAAGGTATCATCTACGCAATGAAGGCATAGCGTTGGTTTCCACGAACTCTTCCTTAAGGAAGAGTTAAGCAAGAGTCAGTGGAAACAAAAGTTATGGCTTCGTTTCGTCACTTCAAACTTGTTTCTGAGAAAGGTTGCAACAAGGCTTAATTATAGTCTCTAATTGATTTTAACTCACATATGTAAGGTGTGTTGACACCACCAAATACACCTAGCGTGTTTCACCAATGGATATTGATCTGGTCTTAGAAAGATAGAAGATATTAGAATAAAGAAACTAGAAACATTGTCCTAAACAACCTAGAAATTAGACAACATTTTGAAGATGTCACAAAGTAGAGAAAAGATTGCGGAATGAGGAGATGTAGTAGAATAATAGTTTAAATCAAGGAAGCAGAGGACATTGAAGAAATCATTGATATTACCTTAGAAAGAAAAGAAAAAAGGCCGAGCAAGGTCAGAAGCTCCAATGAGCTAGAAAGATGCTAGAAAAAAGTAACACAAACATAACCCCTTAAAAGCTAACAATATAATAACACATCAGAATCTCAGAAGATAGTAGATAAAAAGAAGAAAAGCTTATCAAATAAAACCTAAAAACGATTTCGAAACAAGCAAAATTTTAGAATACGTCTGAAAGAAGAGAGCAAAGCATCTGCTATAGAAATAGAGTCGAAAATAAGAAATTAGTAAAAGAGTAACGAAGTCATTAATGTTAAAGCAGCAAAAAAGCACATATAAGAGAAGAGAAAAGTTGAGAAGATAGCAGGTAAAGAGAGAGATGCTGATATAAAGTTTAATGGAGAGAGTTTAGAAAAAGTCAGGTTTTGAAGATGTTAGTAAAGTCAGAAAAGAGCGAATAAAGCATCTAGAATATAGATAAAGTTAAAACCGGACAGCAGTAGATAAGAGAAATAAGTCAATATTATTGAAACGGCAAAAAAATACGAAAGAGAAGGTAAAAGTTCGAGTAAAAAGCAGCAAAAAGTAAACATTAGCAAGAATGAAAGAAACTAAAAACGTTGCATAATACTCTAAAAAATCTAAAAATAAGATAGAACTTGTCAGAAAGCAGAAAATTAGAATGCAGAATAAAGAGAAAGAACTAAATGGTTGAATTTAAGGAAGCAACAGGCATTAGAAAAGTCAATAACACTAAAGCACCTAGAAAGAAAAGAGAAAGGTGCAGGGGATGTTAACATTGAAGCAACCAAAAACAGACTAGAAAAAACTTACCCAAACATAATTATTAGAAAGCTAAAAATACCAAAAATCCAAAACACTAGGAATTCAAAAGGTAGCAGATAAAGACAAAGAGAGGTGTCCAAGTAAGGCCAAAAAGAAAGAATTTACAAATAAACCAGAGTGTAGAAGATGCCAGAAAAGTCAGAAAGAAGAAAACAAAGCATTTAGTATCAAGATAGAGTCAGAAACAAGATATCAGTAGAAGAATGAAGAATTCAAAAACATGAAAACAAACGAGAAAATAGAAATAAAAGCAATAAGAAAAGAAGCCTGTAAAAAGTAAAGATTAGAAATATGTAAGATATCCAGAAATGTAGATATCCTTGTAGAAATGAGATAGATATTATAAATATAGATGTCAACAAGAAAAAAAAGAGGATACAGAATAGAGTAAAAGTCAAGGAAGCAAGAGGCATTGAAGATGTCAGTAATATTAAAGGACCTAGAAAGTAAAGATATAAGTCCGAGCAAAGTCAGAAGAAAACCCGTAAAATGGCTAGAAACGCAGAAACAATAGAAATATTAAGGAAAATATCATATTATAAAGAAAGAGGAAAAGAAAAAGCACTTGAATAGCTAGAACTTATATTTCTAGCGAGTTACAGTTTCACGTTACTTGAAAAAATTGAAAATAAATTAGAATCTGACAGATGCCAGAAAACGTCAGAAACAAGAAAACATAATCTGGACAAAGAAGCTGAAGACAATAAAGAAACTAATAATACTGAAGAAGCCCAAAAGAAATCAGAAAGAAAAGTAAAATATGCTTACAAAATCTAAAGTAAGCAAGATACGAAGAAATTAACCAACTTGAGAGACGCCAAAAAAAATCATAAAATACTGGGTAAAGCTCGAATGCAAGCAGTCAGAAACACGCTAGAAATGCTGTAGTAAAGCAAAAGCTTACAAGATGAGAGATAAAGAAAAGAAACTTTTTTCTGACACATGTTCGAAGTGTTTTTGAAGAAGATTGCAATATGGTGTAACCCGAAAGTTTCTAGGTATATTATTAGTTCTAGTAATAGTGGTAGTGTTAGTTCTACTTTTAGTTTAATTAACACCGGTCGTGAAACCCTTCGTACTTGTAGTTGAAGAAGGTTTAAAAGTTGTAGAGAGTATTGATTGTGTTAAAGAGTGGGTTAAAACCACAATTTATTTCTTTACTATTTTCACATTATTTCAGTAAAAAAAAATTTTGATTTTAAAAAATTATATTTTTTTTGTTGCCAGAATAAGAGTTAGTTACCAAAAAAAAACTTTTTTTCTCTTAAAAAAGAATTTAGAACCAAATTCCAATCGAAAACAAAAATCAATTCGAACCTATTTTTAACACAAACCAGGTGGAAAACTTCACTGGAACTTTCAATTTTCAAATACGTAACCATAAAACAACGAATGTAACCTTGAAAATACTTTAAACTCAAAAATACACCCCCAACATTTTTTGTTATTGTTATTTTCGTGTTCCTTTTGCGGCATTTCCGGTTTGAGAATCCATTAAAGAAAAGTCATCTCGACTTTGCTTGCGAGTGAGTTCTTCTCTTCACAATTAGAAGGGGAGACGTTGGGATAAATTTAGACCGGCGTCGGATGGAGAGAACCAAGCGGGACGACGCACTTCAAGCGCCAGTTTGGATTTTGGCGTCGCGACGCGTAAAGATTTCCTTTCTTTACCGTATTAAATAATTTCAAAATTTATTATAAAAGTGGACGAGATAAGTGTAGTATACAGAAATATTTAAGCGTGAGAATATGACGCATCTCAACGTTGCTGTAAGGGTTAGACCTATGTCTCAAAGGTAAGAAAAAAAAATATCATTGTGTTGAAAATTAATATAAAAACATTGATTTTAAAAATTAATAACTAAAATTGTGTAATGTAATGTTACGTATTTATGTTTTTGAAAATAAATTGGAAACGTCGACCTCAATTAACATGTAGTAAAAGAACACCTGCTTTAGAGTACTCTAAATTAATCGAAAGGCAAGTAGCCAATAAGGTTTGAGCCATCAACAGTTTAAGATGAGTCACTAATCGGACATCCAGGAAAACATTCTTTCGACGATGTCAATGACAGATCAACGTTCGATAAATTTAACTCCTAACCTTTCTCAACATCAAAAGAACAACACAACAAAAAGTTCGCAATTAAATCAATTTCTTTTTTATCTTTTCTTAGAGAAATCTCATTAAATGCAGTTCCAGTGGTTGAAGTCAACAGTAATATAGTTTCGATAACAAATTTAAAGGTAAGTTGTTTGCATGTATTCGAGCTATTATTTTCAGTTTTTTTTCTAAGAAATAAGTAAAGAGCAGTTAACGATGACAATAGTCGCTTATTAAAGTTAATGGAAGGTGCTTTAGAACGAGCTTTCGGCTCTTCTAGGACTCCGAATAAAACGGGCGTAAACTCGACGCGATTTATTTTTAGCTTGGCGTCTATATCCGGAGTGGTAATTGAGAAAATATTGCATCTTGCAGAAAATAAAAAAAAACAAAGAATTATTCGATAAATTCGCCTTTGTTCTTTTCCTTCAATAAAACATTACTGCAATACAAATAAAATGAATAATGTAATGATTTGCACTTAGCTGATTCAATACAGTACTTAAACAGATAATGTAATGTGTCAAATTGTACGAATTATGTGAAAAAAAGCTTATAGCAGAAAATCTGGGAAAATTGCCAATAACATTACTAATGTTGTGTTACACTTACTTAACAGATTCCCAGAGAGGAGAATCCCAGAAATTTTGGTAATCAAAAACTGAAAATATGTGTGTTAATGATAGATGTAACAAATTATAAGGAATCTCTTGCGTTGATCGAATCAAATTAAATGTTGTCATACTACACAGTTCCCAGAAAGAATATTAGATTGTCTAAAAATGTTGCATTACACAAAGTCAACAAAGTTTTTCAAAAATTATCATTTTGAGAAGAGGTTCATACAGTTCAAAGAAAATCAAATTACAAGAAACGAAAATTACCTACAAACAACGGTTTAGAGACTTTTTAGACCAAGAAATGCATTTTGTTATTGATTGACACACAAGAATAGTGTGTATGTACATAGTGTAATACTATCGTATCGACCAGCTGCGTAGGTCTCAACTTTGTTTTGTATTCTTCATCCATTAGGTGTTAGCAGATACATCTTTGCCACATTCACAAATACAAAGTACAATAAAATCCTATCACGACCACAACCATTCGTACATTATAACTTAAAAAAAAAATTATCCCAAACAAAAACATTACAACGATGGTGTATTGATATGAACATCGATTTTTGTTGTACACCGATAGAAAGAACAAAAAATGCCCAATGTGAGATGATACTGCTTTAGTCTTTTATTCCTACCAAATAAAAAAGTTGTATTCAGGAAGTTTCTATGTGCAGGGCTGTTTTTTTGGCCGATGCAGATAGATAATGATGCAAAACTAGGATTTAGACAGGCCTAAGTGTGCTACATATTGGCAGGACATTTAGATGAAGAAAAGATCAGACTTTTTAGTGCTGTATTTAATATCCGTTATCTCCAAGGATAACAAAGATATCGGCAAATAAAGCAAGTGGATAAACGAGGATAAAAGTTTGTTTGCAACAAACCTCTCTTATATACTAAAAAATGTTATCATTAGCTTTGGAATAAAGCTCGTAGGAAACCCAGCTTTTGAGTACCATTATATTAAGTAATGCCGTCACATTTCGACAGATTTGTTAAATTCTCTTTTTTGCAATTTTTAATATATGTATAGCAATAAACATTAAACATTACAAAAGAAAATTTAAAACGTCAAAATCAACATTAGAAAGTTAAATGAAATGATATTTGGTATTCATTCTTTGAAATGAACGCAAATGTTAAAATGACAGTTTAAACAAGATAATTTGCCACAACTCACTGAAAAAAGTATCACAAAAATCTCTAAAAGTACTAAAACTATATATTATGATCAACTAACTAATATACAGTGAATTTCACTTAAGATGCAATATACAAAAATATATTTCCATAGAAACCAGGGCGTACCTACTTACTTTGTCCCACATAAAACACAATATGTATGTCAATATAATTTGACATTACAGTAAAACCTCGATATTAAGGATCAATACGGGGAATGCAGTGTCCGTTATAGCTCAATAAAAGTATACAACAATCTAGAATAATAATAATTAGCAAATAAAACTAGACTAGCACTAGAACTAACATTAGACCTAGAACTAGAAACATTCAGAGTTAGCCGTCTTAAGAGACACACGGCTAAACGGAATGTTTCTAGTTCTAGATCTAGCGTTAGTTCTAGTGACAGTGGCAGGTAGCGCTAATTCGTATAAAATATCACTATGTTGCATATTTTTATTGCACTAAAACTAGAATTAACACTAGACCTAGAACTAGAAATAACCCGATACTTTCTAGTTCTAATGTTAGTTCTAGTTTTACATCAGCACTATCACTAGAACTAACACTAGACCTAGAACTAGAAACAACCCGATACTTTCTAGTTCTAGTGTTAGTTCTAGTTTTACATCAGCACTATCACTAGAACTAACACTAGACCTAGAACTAGAATCATTTGGATTTAGCCGTCTTGAGAGACGTGCGGCTAAATCCGAATGTTTCTAGTTCTCGGTCTAGTATTAGTTCGAGTTTTACACTAGCACTATGACTAGAACTAACACTAGACCTAGAACTAGAATCATTTTGACTTAGCCGTCTTGAAAGACGTGAGGCTAAATCCGAATGTTTCTAGTTCTCGGTCTAGTATTAGTTCAAGTTTTACACTAACACTGTCACTAGAACTAACACAAGAGCTAGAACTAGAATCATTCGGGTTTAGCCGTCTTGAGATACGTGCGACTATAGCCGAATGTTTCTAGTTATAAATCTAGTGTTAGTTCCAGTTTTAATTATTATTCAGCGTTAGATTATGGTATATTTTTATTGAAGACATTTAATAAAACATTAACATGTTTCTATAAATAAATAAGTTAAATAATCTAATTATTACAAGATTAATTATCCTTTAATTTAAAATTTAATCTTATACTAACACTTGTTAAAACTAACGTAACATCACATCTTTTTCTTTTGAACGTTTCTAATTACTTCGTTTCGTGTCGACGTACTCTCCCAGACAGCATTCCTAGACAGTCACGTTTACCACCGTATTTGACGGATGTCTGCCTCCGTGGTTGTCTTTGATCTAATTCCAGCGGATATTCCGTTTTCAGGTACCAGAACAGTATGCGGGTGACAGCAGGGAAAGAGTTAGAAGATTCTCCTTTGATTGCTGTTTTGGAACCACGTCAAATCAAGAAAATGTAAAAAATTACCTCATTTCCTCAAAATAAAATGTTTATATAATAAAAATTTTTAAATTTAGGTATTCAACGTTGTTAATGACATCATTGGAAACGCTGTTAAGAAAAAATACCATTCCTGCGTGTTAGCTTACGGACAAAGTTCTTCAGGGAAAACTCACACCATGATGGGGTTTCAAGAACAATTTGGTTTAACACCTCGTTTATGCGAACGAATCTTCGATTATTTAAAACAAATTGATGGCGATGAAGAAGAAAAAGAACATGTAACAATCAGGTAAATTAAAATTATGTTTCCCTTAATCCTTTATGAGCTTAATTAGATTTTATCAATCCAAAAATTTATTTAAATGAGACGACCACGATCCCAGTTAAAATCGGATTAACCGTACGCAATTTCCTGTTATCGTAACGCTGATCGTTTCACCTGCCTCAATACCGTAACGTATAACGCATAAATTCATATCGCGTTCAAGTTTCCGCACGCTACCTACACCTAGCAGTGGTAATAACGAAGAACATGCGCGCCACAACGACCCGTAATGATATCTCTGTGCGCGTTTTAGTAGAAAGAGAGTCTTTGTAGCCCTTTCGTGACACGAATCGTTTTTCGAGAACCCTCCGGGGTTTTGTAACTTTTTCAGGCTCGCTTCAGTTTTCCTATAAGGACGCGAACGAGTACTTTGTTTTTTTCAATTCAAAACGTTTTCGGTGCACGAAACAATTCAATTAAAAAATATTCTGGATTAATCTTGGTAATTAGAATAATTTCATTTCATTAAGTAGTTTAAGATATGGAATCCAAGATCATCTTTTTGAGTCCCAAATTCCTTTCAAAATTCCACACTAACCACCTTTTTTCATTTCAAAACAAAACTTCTTGTATACAAGAGCTCCTAGAACTACTTACAACATGTCTTTATAAATAGACCGTCAACAAGGTTGACTATTTATATCGCCAAATGTCATGGTTCGGGTACGAATCGACACCCCCATCTACCTCCTTCTCCTCATGTCTATTTCGCACCTCTTTCCAGTCTTTCTACCATGCGACACGGTAATTAAATTAAAACCTTGTTTTCATACCAACTCTTTGTATCTTGTTTGAACCTCATTTCATGTTGTTTGTCAGTTATTTGGAAATACACAACGAGAAGGTCAACGATCTTCTAGCTGACAACGATGTGACGAGTGTGCTTAAAATTCGCGAACATCCGGTCCGTGGAACTTACGTCCAAGGATTAAAAGAATACAAAGCGGAGAATCCGGAAAGATTGTTGGATTGGTTGAAGATTGGGAATAAAAAAAGAAGGGTTTCCGCAACCTCGGTGAATCCCCAATCGAGTCGAAGTCACTCAGTGGTTACTTTAAAATGTCTTGGTGGAGTTAAATTGACACTCGTTGATTTGGCCGGGAGCGAAAGAAGTAATCGAGTACATACGAAATCGACGTTTTGGGAAGGAGCTAATATTAATAAAAGCTTGGTTGCTTTGGGGAATGTTATTTCTTCTTTAGGTAAGAATTAATTGAGGTTGAATTTTTTTTTAATGTTTTTGCTTTTGCTTTGCCAATTATGGAAAAGGATATTCCTTAATTAACTCTTTAGGTAGGGATTAAAATAATAAATCATCAAAAAAAATTATTAAAACAATGCCATTAATTATTATTTTTATTTTTAGCCGATCAATCTGTAAGAACAAAAGGTTACAAAAAACGCTTCATTCCTTATAGAGATTCAGTCTTAACATGGCTTTTAAAAGACACCCTTGGTGGAAACTCTCAAACATTAATGATAGCAAGTAAGTTAATAACAAGATAACCGTTTAAAAGTAATCCTAATTACAAATGCACGTATGGAAAGGGTTTGCCCTTATTTTGTAAAGTTTCTGAATATTTAACGTTTAAGTTTTGCACGAAATATCTCTGCGTGTTCTGACTCCCGGTGATTTACAATTATAGCGGTGTCCCCGTCGAGCGTTTGCTACAGTGAGACTGTGAATACGTTGAGGTTCGGGCACAGGGCCAAACAAATCGTTGCCCAACCAGTGGCCAACGAAGACCCCAAGCAAAAAGTTATCAGAGATCTTAAATTGGAAATTGTTAAATTAAAACAACTTCTTTCATGTTGTCAGGTAAGTCAAAAATAAATATTATTTTGATTTATATGTAGGAAAACATATTTCAAATTAAATTTCACATATAATTTCATAATTTTGACATTTCTTAATACATTTTGACATTTTCAATTTGATTAATTAAAAGAGAACATAAAAATAACATGTTTTAAAACTTGCAAAACACAACAGACATTTGCAAATCAACATTATCGTTCTTGCTCAATCTGATCATACCAAACATTAACATGCACACATCCCTTAAGTTCAGTTTTGTATATCAAAGGATGATATTGATGATATATATACTAATGGTGAAGTTCCAGTTTTTCTTTTCAATGTCTTTACAGATTTTTCGGAAACAGTTTTTGAAATTTTACTGAATACCCACCTATGCAACCATAGATTCCAGTGTAGTCGTTAGCTACACCACTCCAAATGTAGCTGTCGGTGTTTTTGCTTTAGAACTCTGGCCTTCTGTGGCAAATTGATCTACTACAAGCCAATCAGCCACTAAAGTCGAAGATGGCAATCCTATTTGTACGTTTTTGCCCGCTGGTTCTCTTCTGCCACGTCTTTTACTCTCCCTAGTCCATGACTGATAGCAGCACATTATGGTGGTTCTGGTTAAGGCAAACCAACAATATGACCTTTATCAAATTTGCTTGTACATTGGCGCACACTCCTACTAGGCATAATCATACTCTGAAATAAACGGGAAATGCGAAACCAATAAAGAACAGTATAAAATCTTTCTGCCATGTTTGGTCGAAGAATTCCTGGTGCTTCTTAATACACTCAGATGCAAAAAAACGCAACAAGCTAATATTTGGTAAAGTTTGAAATGTGATAACTTTTTATTTTTCGTTCAATTTTCATGATTTTTTCAGCAAACTATAGATAAAAATGTCTAATTTCATGTTCAATATCCAGCATTTTATTAAATGCTGGTTATTTAGTCGGTATACAGGGTTAATTGAAACGTCGTTCTAGAATCCTAATTTTAAAATACCTGTGAAACCAAAATTATAATTTTGAAACCATTTATACACTAAATTATTCCACAGGGTGTTATTGTGGGTTTATTGTAGAGAAGATCAAATTGCATTACTTCTTATTGAAGTAAGAGCTAGGCATACTTCCTGTTTGGCAAATAAGTTACATTATTTTGCAAAAATGGCGAAACAAGTGTATTTTGTATTTTCAAACCAAACATTTTGAGCCCCTTTTCAGTTCCCGATAGCCATTTGTTTTTAAGTTATGACGTCTTCAATTTTCTTTATTACGGAGTATAAAAGAGTATTTTTTTGTTGATGACGTCATAACTTTAAAACAAATCGCTATCGGGAACTGAATATGGACTCAAAATGTGTGTTTTGAAAAACCAAAATAGTCTTCTTTCGCCGTTTTTTATGATTCTTAAAGTTATGTCTATCTTTGATATGAAATCCTACTCCTCCATCTCTGCGTCTCTAAACTCTAAAGCTGAGTCTCTAGTGTCAGTACATAACCCTGAATGGCAAATGCGATATATTAGTGCAAGGATTGAACTTAGAAATTGCAACATATATAAACTGACCGGCAAAAAAAAACGGCCACTATAAATTAGCCAAAACTTCAAAGCTGGCTTTCTCGCGAACCGCGCATTCGATTTTGATGATTGTTTTTTTGATCGAAAGGTTGATTCTTCGGTAATAATCCTGCGATAGAAATTTTCATTTAGATTTTAATTTGAGCATATACGGGTTGCAAGAATGAGAAAAACTTTTGTTTCTCGAAATTTGTAATACCCTGTGGGGTGCAACTGCTACAGCAGATAGTGTTAACTGGAATCACACGGTAGCCCAATCTTTTCTGAACATCTTGTTTTTTTATTCACTCTGTTATCTCTATTACCAACGAAGATGCAGTGTTTTAAAGCGAACGCCTGTAAAAACAAGACAAACAAGCATAAAAATGCTAAGGTGGCGCGCTAGGTAGCGTATGTCATTTGTTTCGAATAGTAAATTGACAGTTGTTAGATTTTTGCAGTCTTTTAACATAATAGCAATCCCGTTGTCAGGCTATTGTTACTTTAATTGAGGATGGCAAAAGTCAGCAATACGTTGCCCATACGTTGGGTGTAGCCTGAACAACAGTTCAGGATGTCTGGAACCAATATGTGGAAACAGGAAATTTCACTAGGCGGCAAGGTTTCGGTAGAAGACGAGTGACAACAGCAGTTGATGACCGATTTATTGTTCTAAACACTCTGAGGAATTTTAGAACTACAGCTGTAGAAACTCGGCATCGTCTTCAGATGGTGCGTGGGGTTGACGTAAGTGAAAGAACTATTCATCGAAGACTTGATAAAAGTGATCTGACTGCAAGAAGACCTGCCAAAAGACCTCGGCTGCTCCAGAGACATCGGCGAGCACGTCTTCAATTTGGGCGCGTACGTATGAATTAGGGAATGGAACAATGGGGTAAGGTGCTCTTCACTGACGAGTCCCGATTTTGTCTCCGGTCACCTGATGGTCGAGAGTGAGTGTGGAGACGTCGTAATGAAAGGTTTGCGACCTGCACCGTTTTGGAAAGAGTACCTTTCCATGGAGGTTCTATTCCCATTTTATTGGTGACGGATTCATGCTAATGCATGACAATGCGCGACCGCACGTAGCACGTGTGGTTAACGAATATCTTGATGAAGTAGGGTATTGAACGGATAGAGTGGCTCGCGTGCAGCCCGGACCTTAACCCTATCGAATATCTTTGGGACCAACTTGAGAGACGTATTCGTCGTCGTCCTGTCCTACCGGACAACCTTCAAGAGTTACAAATTGCTTTTGAAGAAGAGTTTGCCGCAATTGCTCACTGACATCAACGACATGCACCATTTGAAGACGACACCAAGCTTCTACAGCTGTCGTTCTACGATTGCTTAGAACAATAAAACGGTCATCAGCTACTATTGTCACTCGTCTTGTTTTCACAGGCGATCGCTTTAAAATACTGCATCTTCGTTAGTAACAGAGCTAATAGAGTGAATAAAAAAACAAAATGCTCAGAAAAGATTGGGCTACCATTTAATTCCAAAAATTTCTATCGCAGGATTATTACAGAAGAATCAACGTTTCGATCAAAAAAAGAATCATCAAAATCGAATGAGTGGTTCGCGAGTAAGCCAGCTTTGAAATTGTGGCTACATTTTGGCGGCCGGTTTTTTTTGCCGGTCAGTGTAGTTTAACGATACTATGTAGTTAAGCATAGGTGTTAATAACGATATCTAAAAAATTGGTTGCATCTATTTATGCAATGTAATAGGCCTTTTTTTCTTCTGAAAGTACTCTGTTTGTTTTTTCATGCTTTTCTTATCTTCGACTATACTGTTCCAAACCTTATGACTACAACATCTCTGGAATGCAGAAAATATGTAAAGCATTATGTCCCATGTATTGATCATTCTGGTTAACTATGGCGCAAATGCTTGCTCTAAAAATGGAGACTTTCTTTTAGACTTGATTTTTAAATCTATTTGTTACCTTATTACGGAAGCTCTTCCTGTCTGCAAGCTTTGAGGACACTTGGTCAAATACAACATTTATTATTTCAAAATCTTCTGCGATAAAAAACTGTTCTCACTGATTTGTTTTAAATACACGGAATATTTGTTAAATGTTTTATGATAAAATATTAAAACGTTGACGAAAATTTTCATTAAAATCATCTATGATAACTTTTGGAGCATTTTGTAATCTTCCAATATATGACATAAATCAAATTTTGGAAAAATTCAATGATATTATTGCTTCGTTCAGTGTTTAGAACTAATTTGGCTTTATATTTTGTTACGTCAAAAACCCAGTTGGGACAAGAAGTCGTTGAAAACAACATTCAGGCACTAGCTTTCTTCTCTTCTCAACAAGCCCAATAAGGTTACCCTATTATAGAGCATTACTGTTGTGTACGGAAGCATTATTTCGATTATATTCGAATTCCATTACTTCATTACTATAAACTCATATTTTCGCATTTCAGCAGAAACTTCTTAGTTTAGTTGAATTTTTCTTTCAAACATCACCAATTCAACAGTGCTTCATGCTAAATTGCATTATAATATCGCCAACTTTGTTCTGCAAACAAATATTTCTTTAAAATAAAATTTGTTATCACTGTGCTCTAGATCCACGTAAATGGGTTATATTGTTATAATTTGTTACAGATAAAATAATGTATCATAGACCTTGAAAGACTTGTACATTAAGAATCCTTAATTTACATGGTAGTAAATGCTTTCGGAGTTGAAAAATAGATTAAGTGGTCAATCTCTGGAAAAAATAAACATTTTTATTTTTTATACCTCGACGTGAAGAACACATGTGTCGAAGCATTTCGCGTGACTTCCCCAAAATAATATCCTCGCTTTAAACACGCAAAAGAATCAACAAATATTTGCAGAGCACGCTTCTATTTTTGTTTTTTCACACTATTATTCCCTGGTTTATTTTATGTGGCAACCTCAAAAGATTCGCCCACCAATTTCGACAACAACAAAAAAAAAGTTTTAAACAACCTCAAAAAGTCTAAATAAAAAATCTTTTCTGTTTTAGATCACCCCGGAAGATCAATTCGTATTAAAACCACTATCGAATAAATCAGACGCATCAACAAACACCGAAAATATAAACTGTCCGATTTCGTTAAAAAAAATAATCATAGATAAATTTAATGGACCAACTCAAAAATCACTTTTCGGTGACGATGTAACGGATTTTAATAATATCAATCAATTTATTAACACCGTTTTAAAGAAAACTCTTCAAAATATTGATGGAAACAAATCGTTCAATATAAATCCGAAAAATATCTCCAAAGCGGAGCTTGAAAGCTCGCTTTGTTCCACAGATAAACTTATCCCAGTGATGGACGTAACAACGATAAGCGATGATAAACCAGTTGTTAAATTAAGAAGAACTTACAGCGTTTTATCGGAGAAAGACGCAAAATCAGCTAAGAGATATGGTTCTTATGAAACATTATCAACAAAAGGTGAGAAAATGAAAAAACCCACCCCAACGGCGTTAATTAGAAAACGCTCGATCGATAAACCGAGCACTTCTTTAGCTAAAGTTGAGGCAAAAGTAGATTCAATTCGAAAAATGACTTTAAAACCACGATCTGAAATTGTTGCAGCCGTTACACAAAGACTCTACAGCAAAGTTAATAAAAAAGAAGTTGCCACAGAAACCGAAGAAGTTATTAAAGAAAATAAAGGTACGATGGCGAGACCGTTAAGGCTACAAGATATCACACAAAGAGCGATGAGGTATTATAAAAGAAAACATATCGAAACACAAACAGAATCAGATCCTGTCGTACGAGTTAAAGACACTTGTACGGATGTTGATGACTTAAAAATCGAAACAAATCAATTTAAACACATTTCCGTTTGTACGGAAGAAATTAAACTTGAAAATGTTGGCACAAATTGCAATTTACTCAGATTTGATTCATCAACAAGTGGAGGAAATGGGTTAAAACTTACAACATCTTGCGGAGTCCAAGTGGACGAAGACAACAAAGAATTGAAACAACCTCAAAATTTACTTTCGTTTACAAAATATTTAAGGGGAAAAGAAAATAATAAAGAAAACATACCAAACCCTATTTATACATCATCGGTTAATATTCACGTTTCACACAATTACATCAACAATAAAGAAAAAAATGAAAACGATTTAAGTATTTCCGAAGATAGTTTAGATGATAATATCCCACAATCTTTTCAAACTCCCGATTTAATAAGTAATCATAATTCTTTAGAACACGATAAAATTAATTTCGCCAACATCAACGACACCATTCCTTACGATACAATAAACAATCAAAATTACGATCAAAGAGAATCGTGTCAAGCAACGCCGAATATCATTCCAGAGCTATATCAAGCTGGAATATCAATTTCACCAACTTACGCGTCAGAAATTAACGTAACAAAAACACCGGAAAGAATTTTACCTTTAAAAAGTTTCCATCCAATTTCATCAAAACCAAACATTACACAAACTCAAAAATATGAAAAAGTCACGATAAACGAACCAATTATTCTTAAAAGTATAATGAAGCAACATTACGATAGTGACTCAAGCGATTTTTCTATGGATACGTTTGAAAATGTACAAGATTCGTTAAATTACCACAAACGAGTACATTTTCCTAAAGAACAACATAAAGATTCGCGAGTTTTCGAAGCGATGACAAATTTTTTAAAAGAAGCGAGTGCTTTAATGGCAAATTTATCAATTGTCGCTGATAAATTGGATAAACCAGAACAAGCCCATGAAATACAAGTCAGTTTAAGTGATATTAGCGAAATGGTTTCGAAAAAAATTAAAAAGAAATATCGGAAAAAGAAACGAAATGAATCGCCTAACTTTGAAAATATTTCTTGTCAAACTTCACCAAAACGAACGATGAATATTTTCACGGAAACTGAAGAATTTCCAAACAATAAATACGAAAGTATCGTAAAGAATTCCTGCGATCGATTAGAACAACTTTGTAATAATAAAGCGAGTGGAAATAAATCAACGGAAAAAATTGTTGTTGATGAAAGCGTTTTGCATAGATTTCCCCAGCCGTTTTCCGTGTCAGATTGGAATGATTTTTCTTATCAACAGTACGAAGATTCTAGCATTGAAAGTAACCCAACTTATTCGGATTATGGAAGTCTTCCGCGAAGAAAAGTTAAACATAAAAGTTTTTTGAGTCCCAGCGAATATTTGAGACAACTAACAAGTATGAGGAAACAAATTATTGATACATCTAGAGATGAATTGTTGAATGATCATCGTATGGTTTTTGAATGATGAAATAATATTAAGAAAATTTTAATCGGGACACAAAATATTGTTAAATAAGATTGAATGATGAAGATTTTAAAAATGGAATTGAAATTTATCTGGAGGAATCAACGAAAACAAGGTTAAGAAGAAAAAAATGTTTACGCAGTATTGATTGTTTTATTAGAACAAAGTTTACATAAAGGAACAAAAAAAACTGTATTTGTAAACTTGTTGGAATCAAAAAAAATTGTTGCATTGATAAGAATTTTACGAATTTACATTTTAAATCTAAATGTAGCTTATTCTATGGTAGATGTAGAATTTTACATAAATTAAGTGTTAATATTTATTTAAAAAATATGTATTAATTTAAAATTGCAAGAAAGAATAACTAAAAAGATTTCTTTTGACTACTTTGAATAACTTTACAAAATGAATTGAATTAATAAAGTGATTAGATAAAAAATTAAGGGTTGAAGCATTATTTTTCTACAATAACTCCTTGAAGCTGCGTCCAAGAAAAAGGTTGCATAAAAATAAAATAATTAAAACATATTTTAGTTATATATAGTTTTTTCTTCAATACTAAAATGTTATTTCAGCAATCAATTTTATCAATCGACATAAATCGTTGATCACCGAGTCTTTTTTATGCCTTGTCATCTTATTTTGTTATTTGATAATAAACGAAAAAACAAGAAAATCCAGTAAAATGCGTTATTAAAAAAGTAACAATAAAATAGTAAGGTAAAAAAGATGGCGATAATAAAATGTTCATGGCACTTGGATGGTTTTTCTCGACACGACGATTATGTTAAATGAGTATAAAATTATCATTTATCTTCTTCTTCTTTTAGAAGGCACTTCTTGTGATGTTGATTGCCAACATGTCTCGCCATTGTTTAGGTGGTCGTCCTATAGGTCCTCTTCCGTGTGATGTGTTTCGCACAATCTTGGCTATTCTGTCAGGACCCATCTGATTGTTTCTTCTTCTCCTTATCCATCTTACTACGCCATCTGTTTTACACTTTTCTCTCATGGCTGTATTTTTTGGTTATCGGTTAAAGTGTTCTCAGAATCGTCTTTGTTACTGATGTTTCAGTTCTTGCTTGCGCACCATATATCATCATTGGTCGTACACATGTTTTGTATATTCTCGACTTACAACTTGTACTTAGGTGCTTGTTTTTCCAGATTGGGTATCTGTGGTGTTCTGATATTGCGGCAGCTTTGTTGACTTGTTTCCTCACTTCATCTTCCAGAAATATTCGATGATGTTTTTTTTCTATAACCAATTTACAGCGCAGCGGTTTTGAAATGGTTATGCATTTGCTCTTGTCTATAAAACTTTTTATGTCAAGTTTTCCTGCTGGTTTATTAAAGACTGTGACATATTTTGAACGTTATCTTCTAATTCCGCAATAAATACTGCGTCGTCTGCATCACATAACATGTTTATTCCTGTGTTTTTTACCACCATTATCAATTCATCCATCATTGTGTTAAACAACAAAAAGCTGAGACTGTCACCTTGACCTATGGTAGTTCGGAGATACTGTGTTAGCGTGAAATGTCTTGCTATTTGCGTTATTGTGTTTATGTTTAGGTCTTTAATAAGTATTCTTTCGACATATTATTGTTTAGCAGAATCATGGTAACATTTTTCAGTTGCACTCTATCGAAAGCCTTCGTTAAATCATAAATCCACAAAGCAGAAGTAAGCAGGGGTGCTATACTTTATAGATTTTCTTACCAGTAGTGTAAGTATGAACTGTGACATTATTGAGGCTATCTTGTCCGTAATGATTTTAATTAGAAGTTTTAGAGAGGAGTTTAGTAACGTTACCCCTCGATAGTACGTTCTTTTTACATTCTTTTGGATTTTTGTTCCTCCGTATTTTATCAGTTCGTTTGGTATGTTGTCTTGATTTGAGGTTTTTCGGTTTTTGAACTTTCTCATTGTCTCTAATATCATTTACCATCTAATAATATTACACCGTAACAGTTAATACAACTCATGGCAACCGAAAAATACAATGTATAGAAGCAGGATTCCTACAAGTATAATAAAACCTAAACCCGCAACCGATAGATCAATTTTTGTGACAATTCACGGCAAGTGAGGTATTATAATACCAACCTCAATGTTAATACATTTTTATGTTCTATTTCTTTGTTTTTTTTTTCATCAAATTATAGTCCTGCATAGATAATTACTAATTGAAACAGTAAGCTGTACTCTTGAAATTATTATTAAAACAAAGAATTCTTTTTCTTTCGGTGCCATCATCATGTATGTCATGTCTTCCCAACGTTGGCAATTACACGGAAAGTTGTTCACAGCAATCAGCTAATCTCAGCAATCAGCAAAATCACGAATTTTCCTTAGCCATGACATTTGCTTCCTTTCAATTTCTCTGCGAACCTCGATTTTACCTTTCATTATAAGACTAAGGATTTTGTATCTGTCTCTTCTAAGAATATGCCCTAAAACGGCACTTGCTCTGTTAAACACAGCTTCGTTCGTCTGCATCAGGGTATTCGGAGCATTCTTCTATGTGACTACATCTCGAATGCTTCCAGATGATTAATTGTGACAGCTTTGGAAAATCAGAACATATTTATAGTTTTATCACAAAAACTTCTAAGTATGACATATTCAACAAAGATGGAGTTTCCCAAGAGTTACTATAGAACTATGAACTGTTTGCAATGAGAGTTGTCAAAAAGCAGAATTGGTCTCTTCATGATTTTCGATAATGTTAACAGTCGGCTACTTCTAGATAAATTGCCGTACTATTCAATGATATACAATTTATAGAAAAAATAATGAGGACTATTTCCTCAAACGAGAAAAGTCTCCCAGATATAGCAAGAAAAAATATGAAGATAAGAATGCAACCCTGTTTCATCATTTTCAGCGTATAGTATAAGTAGAAAAATAAGAAAGCGAAACGTCATAAAACATCTTCTTGGTACTCAAAAGAAGTAATATTTAACTTAGTATTTGCAAATACTTTTTTCAAACGATTTCCTGGTTATTATGATTCAACACACAAATATTCACCTGCAAGCATTGGAAGGAAATTAGCTTCCAGGTTTTATACCATACTCTGTAAAATCCAATTGATGTCAAAACTTAACAAAATTTCTCCAATCAATTTATTTTTCGTCTAATAATCAGCTAAACTAACATTTTGGAGATTTTTGCTTTGTACCTATAAAATGATTGAATTTGCTATGTTTTTTTGATTTATAAGCAATATTTATACTTATCGTTCCTGAATCAGTTCAAAAAAATAACTTACATTCCGGATAATAAAGCAAAGTTTGTCGTTTAATGTATCCAGTTCCGGGAATTCTCATCTCACAAAACACCAATGACCCAAATTCCAATTTATTAACTTGAATCGTTGAAGTTTGTTGCAAAGAAAACTTTCCGTCCGCATGTTTTTTCGTGCTCCACTCAACGGGTTCCAAATTATTCCTAAAAAATGTATTTACATTTACTGAAAAAAATACACACAAAAAATAAACTTGCATTCCATTATTCGTCATTTTATCCATAAACAATATTAAATGCGCTTGAGGATACACTTCTTCAGCCAAACAGGTGAAATTCACTTTTCCGTTTATGTTCGGACTTCGATGAAGATGCAAAGATTTTTCGGGAACTTAAAAATAAATTTCATGAAATTTTTTTATTAGTACAAATACATCTTATTACCAAAAATAATCATAGTTTTCACACTAAAATCTTCATCGGCGAACGTCGATACAAAACATTTATATACCCCGGCGATTTCGGTGGTTGGATTTGAAATTTTTAAAGCCCGAAATACGGCTTTCGGATCGGCACTAGCTCGATAACTTAAATCGACGCGATTTTTTAAAACTCCGAGACTCTGGGGTTTTTGCGGTGGAACCCATTGGTAAACCAATTCATTATTTAAAAACCATTTCACCACCAACTCGGTATCATCCGGACGTACTGAATAATTACAATCTAAAATTGCCGATTTACCTGAATTGTTCTTTAAGGCATGAGGTACACGAATGTAATTTATTTGAACCATTTCAGATAAGTGACCTTTAAAAAAATCGAAAAGAAATATATTAATCGAACACTAATCAAATTATGGAATGTAGAATTATATAAGTTATATAAGCGCAATATCATAATTTTATTTATCTAATTCTATTATGAAAATTAAATTTTACATGTCTTTCTGACGTTATGTAACGTCACTATTTTTATAACTAGTGATGTAATGATTTCATACATCACTAGTGATGTAATGAATTCCATTACCTAACTACAAATTGACATCTGTCACTAATAGAATAAGATAGATAAAATTTTGTACTTAACACGATACGAAACGGCTAATTTGGTTTAACTCACGTAATATTATTAGTCTTTTCACAACTGGTTACGTAAATAATTATTACAAGATGTATGTATTTCGAAATTAATGTACTTTACTTTACTCTCGTATATAGAAAGTGTACAGTGTGTGGCAAAAACATAAAACGATAAAAAGTTGTTAATTAATTAATATATGTTGCAAATTTTAAGACTAGTTTTGCAGCGGTCCTTTCTAAATTTTATATTTCTGAGGCGAACGGTATTGTAATCTTAAAATCATGATAAGTCAGATTCATCAACATGGATAGATCAATCAGCCTTTTGAACACACTCTATTAAAAAACAAGCAGTTCCAACATCGAATTTTAATTTGATAATTTTCGCCTATCTTTAGAATAAAGAACAGCAATCACTGCAAGTTGAATGCCATAAGCAAAATACTGTTACTGTAGTGGGTGTATTAATTTAGTAACTCCATCTGTTGTGACTGAAACAATGTCAAGTTAACCCGTTTTTGCCCGAGTTTTCTTATTTCAAATACAAAGGTTCTTTTACATAATTTTGATAATTTTTATGCATAAGATGTCTAATTATATGCAAAAAAAATGTTTATACATAATTTTCCTTAATTTTTGATGTTCCAATTTTGGAGCATCAAAAATTGGATGAAAAGTTGGGTTGGGTTGGGTTGTATCCATACCCTAAAGTTTGAAGATAATTCACCACTTTCAAAGATGAAAAATATCTATCAGAGTAAATTTTAAAGGACACGTGTTTTGAAAGTTTTGACATCAATGAGACAACAGTAGAACCGCCAACACCCAGTTGTTCAATATGAGGTCTGCTCTCTTCTTTTCCCTGATATGGTTCAAATTGAATCAGCTATCCTAATGGATCACACAAGCTCCATATCCTGTACCCATATCTAATCGGTTTACCTTTGATGAACTGTTTGGCTCCATGTCGACCAAAATAAGGAACCATGTTTTCGTCAATGCTCAGTTTTTCATTTAGGACTGCATGTGCTAAGTAACGTTAGTTAAGCATGTCAAAAAGAAGACGCAATTTTGCAAATTTATCAGCATTAGCTAGATTAGTGTTATAGGCACAGTGTACATACTTCTTTATAACGTCAAACCTGTTTCTTCTCATTGCATTTGCGACCATTGGATTTTATGTATCACTATCAGTCTCCCACAGCATACGCCATCGAGAAACTTGAAGATGTCCTGACAAGAACAAAATGGCAACGAAGCATTTAATTTCGCCAGTATCAATCTCAATACTATGGGTCACCATGTTGCTAAGCATAAAGTACAAACATATCGTTCAAGAAAGTGCATATTTCTTCATCAAAAAAACTTTCAAAACAAGAAACAGCAACGGTAAAGTTGTATGTACGACATTGGCTTGGTGAAACAAATGGCGGCAAGGTTGGAGTCAAATTATATTTCACAAAATTTCTTTTAGGCGAATGATTATAATTTGTGTTGACTAAACGAGAAAGAGGTAAATCGTCTTCGTCACTAGAATTTTCTGTGTCTTCGATGTAAGCGATTTTATCGAATTGTCTAAATTTTGCAGTCGCAGGCGCTTGTAACTGTCGTCCACTCAAGTGATTTATATCTGAAGGAAGTTCTTCATCATCACTATCTTCCTCAGAGTTTCTTCTATCATTTGGTGGACTAATATAAATGTCTGCTTCCCAAAACTCATCACTTTCCACCAAATCAATAAGCTCTTTGGTAGAATAGTACCTAGAAAAAGTGTGTACCCCAGTGTTCCGAAATTGGAACATGCGAAAATAACGGTAAATTACCATAATAAAGGCATGCAAATTTGGCAAGATCTCTTATAGCAAACATTCAACAGACAATATAGTATCAACAATTTGAAATTATTTACAGTAAATTACAAAAAAATACTTCTTTGCAGCAATTTTTGCACTATAAACACCAGCACAGTAACTTTGTGAGATTTGCAAACGAGTGAATTCTAACAATGTAGTACACTTTCCAATAACATATGAGACTATGACGGACAAGATGAGACCTGCAGAATGAAAAAAAACGCGAAAATACGGAAGTGGTGGGGAAAACTGTCACTGTTCCAATATTGGAACAATGGGCAAAAACGGGTTAAGGATTAACTAGCTGTCTTAAGAGACACGAATGTTTCTAGTTCTTGGTCTAGTGTTAATTTTAGTGTTAGCTCTAGTTTTAGTGGTTAAGCATTTGCTAATTCAAAGTGTGAAATAGTGGTTGCCTACCCATGCGTGACGTCACAAACGGGCCGTCAATTCCCGGGGTTCCCGGCATTTAAAGCGTATTTTGAAATTACCGCGCTATTTTAAATTTAATATTTTGTCATCTATAAGTAGACGTTTTGAATAAATATGTATTCGTCTATAAATGCTATTTAAAATGCGAGAAAGTTGATTAGACCACTCCAACTTATTTTCTTGTTATGAATTATAACGATATTGTGTCCTTTTATACTATTAATAGACTATCTAACCAAGGTATTACGAATAAAGTTATTGGAAACATCAAAGTAAAATCATTCAAGCTTAAAATAAAGTTTAATGAATTGTGAAATTACTGAAAATATTCTTGTAGATGTAAGTATTTTAACATAATAAATTAAGTAATCAATAAAAATACACTATATATATAATTCTAATCAATTGTAATAAATAAATGTTGATTTTATGTTAAAAAAGTTAAAAAAAAACTTAACCTAACTCTTTTGTACTACACACAAAAATCTAATTGAAGCAATAATTTACTTACATGTAAAAAGAATTAAATAAACGTATTTCATTTTTAACGTGGATTTAATTAAAAGTGTGTTCCTTTTTTTAACGAATTTGAAATATTCACGAAGCTTGTTGGAATTGAATACGATTGGAAAACCCTCTTCAAAATTAAACGCATGCGCAACCTAACCTCACTAACAAAAGACCTACTTGAATATAGTCTATTTCGGTCGATCATTAACATATCTAACCTCACTTCGGTGAGATAGAAAGATATTTGGCGGGGTTATCTTTAACGGAATGAATAAAACATGCGCCGTGACCTTGATGAATAATACGCATTTTACGTTGCTTTTAAATAGCTGGTTTGTTTGGTTAAGTTGGGGATTGAGAAGAATTTTGCCGAAGATGTAACATACTTTTATTAAGGAAAAAGTAGGCTATGAAAAGAAATCGACGTGAAGTTATGCGGTAATCTGTTAAGTGTCAGTAGGTAACCTATAATTGTTAAGGTAACACGTCAAAAAAAATTAAATAAAAATTTATGTATTTATTTTTTTAAAAAATATACTAACGATGGTATCTAAATTTTTAGTAATCAACATGCACTCGATTCAATTTCGACATGGATTATCAAGATGTTTGGGACGTTACTTTACAAGTTCATTAGCAAAACCAATGACAAGTACAAACCTTGATCCAGTCCAAGAAGAATCTTTGAAAGAAAATTGTTTGCTGGTGGATAGAAATGATAAGGTTGTTGGGGTTGCCTCAAAAAAGGAATGTCATTTAGTTAAAAAAGATGGATCTTTACCACTACACAGAGCTTTTAGTGTGTTTCTTTTTGATCAAAAAGGAGATTTATTATTACAAAAGCGAGCTTCGACGAAAGTAAGTAAACAAAAACATATTATAATTTTATTACTTTGGAGGAAATTAATGGTAAATGATTTATAGATAACATATCCGAATTGTTTCACAAACACGTGTTGTAGTCACCCAATACACGATGTTTACGGTGAACAAGACGAAGAAAATGCTATAGGTGTAATACGTGCCGCTCAAAGACGATTAAATTACGAATTAGGAATCAGTCGAAATCAAATTCCTGTTGATAAATTCAAATATTTGACTAGGATTATTTATAAAGATGTGGGTGATGGGGTTTGGGGCGAACATGAACTTGATTACATTTTATTTATACAAACACAAGTCGATTTAAATCCTAATTTAAATGAGGTGTCTGAACTTCATTATGTTTCAAAAGAAAACTTACCCGCACTTTTACCAACATTAAGTGGCCCTTTAACACCTTGGTTCGAATTAATTTTAAAGTACAAGTTATTTTTGTGGTGGAATAATTTAAACAATTTGGATGCATTTAAAGATCATGTTAATATAACAATATTAGAAAAGTGAGAAATAACCAAAAATGTATATTTTAAAGTAAATTATTTTATTTAATTCTTATTATTTTTGATGTTTTCTAATTTTTTTTTTTGTTTAATTCAGGTTATAATCGTGCAATAAAAAAATTTGGTATATTTTATTATTTTATTTTTATTACCTAAATTCCTATTTGTTTTCTCTAACAAAATAAACAGTTTAGTGGTAATGTTAGCTCTAGTTTTAATTGTTAATCAGCCTTAGATTGTATGTAGCACTGAATAATCAAAAAAAAATCATCACCAAGGTCACTACAATGCCAGGGGCCGACATCGTTTTGCGTCTTGCCAAACCAAAATTGCTGAAAGATGAAGAAACAAGATTAATGTATGAAGATCACATTAATAAAGAACTAGATAATACCAGTATAAATGACACCAACAAGCATTGGCTAGATCATAGACAAGGTTTTAAAAGGGATGACAAAAGGTATTCTGGAACTAATGGAGAAACGAAGGCAATGTACAGACGTCTTCAAAGAAGAATAGGAAATGAGATTAGAGTGGCAAAAGAGAATTGGCTGCATAAAAGATGTCGGGAGGCTAAAGATCTTAGCAGACTTGGAGACAATTTTCATTTATATAAAAAAGTCAAAGAAATAGCTGTGCTGTATAATAATAGATCGTCAATTTTTCATCAAAAATGAGCATAATTAAATAGTGCCAGAAACTGAAGAACTTTTGCAAATATGGAGAAAATATACAATTAGCCTCTTCAATGACGACAGATCAGAGAACCCTCCAACAGAGGGGTCCACTCTGCCAGGACCAAGTATATTAAGAAGTAAAGTCATACACACCATTAAGTCGATGAAGGAGATATTTCACTTAATTAACGAACAAAATCTTGAAACATTATTCAACAACATCTATGACTCTGGACACTTCCTTGAGGACTGGCTCCACTCTACGTTTGTCGCACTACCAAAATCGAATAATGCAACTTCGTGTAAGTACCGTCTCTGCGTCTCATTAGTATAATGAGCCACTTTCTAAAACTTTTCCTTGCAATTCTACATACAATGCTTTATCAAAAATGTGAGGAAGCAAGTGAAGCTAGTCAGTTTGGTTTCTCATTCCAAATCCGAATCAAAATCCATCAAGGCTGGAATTTCTCAAGGCAGCATCCTCTCACCACTACTATTTAATATATGTTTACATGACATTCCAATTAATAAAAATGACCGAAAAGAAAAAAATGATAATCTAGAAAAATCCATTCAAGATCTACAAAACTCGATTAATGAGATTCATAAATCGTTATTGACTTGGTGCTTTCAGTTAAATCCAAGTAAATGTGAGGCTAAAATATTTATCCTTAGACAAGTTAAAATAAAATTAATCGAAGATCACCCTTTAAACTGTAATCCGAAAGATAGCGCTATCAAATATCTGGGAATATATTTGGACAAAAGACTTACATGGAAGTATCATATTAATAAAAAATTAAACGAAACATATACAAGAAAACTTTATCCCATCATCAACAGAAAATCGAAACTAAAGATCAAATGTGCAATGCTACTACACAAATCATTAATAAGACCTGTAAGATCTATGCATGCCCAGTTTGGAGCTCAACAGCTAAATCTAGTATTAAAAAAATTCAAGTGCTACAAAATAAAATTCTAAGAATATCTGTAGATGCTCCATGGTTCGTGAGAAACTCGCAAAAGACCTCCAAAAGTGTCTAAGCGCACAAGAACATCTGTTGAGAGATAAAATAGAAGACATATTTATAGATAGGGAATAGATTCAAGATGACATTGTTAGTTCTTCTGCTATTATTGTATAATTAATTTCAATTGTTATCAAATGGCTACTTTGATAACAATTGAAATTGTATGTAGTAACATTTAATGTTGAACTGGTTGATGCTATTAATAAATAAAAAAAAAGAGATTTAAGACTGGATCCAAAGGATATAAGACTAATTGGTAATCTATGTTAGCACCAAAAGGAGAAAGTCCGAGTAAATAACCCTGGAACAACTGAGGATTTTGAAATCAAAAAGGGCACTCGCCAAGGGTGTATCCTGTCCCCGATGCTGTTCAACCTATGCGTAGAAAAAGCATTCTCCGAGTCAATCTCGAATAGTCCCTTTGGAATTAAAGCAAATGGAACGTCCATTAACAATATCCGGTATGCGGATGACACCGTGATATTAGCGGATGGTACACAAGATTTGCAAAACTCGACACACTCGAATACATGTTGATGGAGAGATCATCGAACAGGTTAAACAATTTAGATACTTGGGATGCATGATTAATGAGAGATGGAATCCGGATTAAGAGATAATAATAATAAACTTTATTGTGCACCATAAAATTCTACATATTAAAGAAAAAAATAACTTGAATTAAAAACAAAAGGCAGGTTCCAAACTTTAGTCTGTTCTAACCAATCTATAATCAAATAATATGCATGATTGAACAAGCTAGAACAACCTTTCTAATTGTAAGACTTCGATAATTTCTTACGGAGAAGAACCTGAATTTCAACCTCAGATATAGGATGGTAAAGTGCTAGGTCTGGTCCGTTCTCCTATGGACACTGAAAATATCAATCATCAACAAAATCGAAGCCTTTGAAATGTGGATCCTGCGGCAAATGTCTTCTGAGTAACGAAGACGTTCTCCGAAGGGCCGAGAACTTTTTGAAAATATCAAGAAAAGAAAGATACGTTATCTCGGACATATACTACGGGGAGTACGGTACCATTTCCAATGCCTCATTCTCCATGGCAGAATTTAGGGAGGAAAAGGAGGAGGAGGTAAAGAAAAATTATCGTGGCTAAGAAATATCCGTCAGTGGACTTCCAAACATTACAGAATGCTGCACATAAAGAACCGTTTGAAGAGGAATTTGCATGGCACTTTAAGAAGAAGAAGCACTGAACAACAACTAAAACAAGAATAAAGACTAACAAGAACACACTAGAACTAGAAACATTCGGGCTTAGCCATCTTAAGAGACGTATGGCTAAACCCGAATAATTCTAGTTCTAGGTTTAGTGTTAGCTCTAGTTACAGTTGTTATTCAGCGTTATATTATAGTACATTTTTTATGAATTAAAAATAAAAGTAACACTAGAATTAACCAAAAAAGTATATTTTAAAGTATTTTACTCTTATTATCGTTGAAGTTTTCTAATTTTTGTATATATTTTTAGATAATGTATCCAGATCATTACACAGCTTCATGTACTGGACATCCAATAGCAGAACATCCTGAGGAAAAGAACGAAAATAACGGATTAGGAGTTAAATTAGCCGCTATAAGACGTTTAAAAGCCGAATTGGGATTTACGACCATCGAACCCTCTGAGATAACTTACTTAACGCGTTTATATTATCATTGTTCCGTCGATGGGAAATGGGGTGAACATCACATCACCTACGTTTTGATACTTAAAAAGGATTTGAATTTAAAACCAAATCCAGGGGAGATAAGCGAGTTTAGTTTGATTCCAAAAGGCGAATTAAGTCAGTTTTTGCCCACTTTAAACGCACCCCTAACACCGTTTTTCAATCAAATTGCGAAACATCGATTGCTTTTGTGGTGGAATAATTTGGATGATTTAAAATCGATTACTAATCAGGAGGCAATTTCAACCGTAGAAGGATGCAGTTAAATTAATTTTTTTTTTGTAATAAAATTTGAAAATAAAGTTAATATTTCAATCATTGTGTGTTTTATCTTTGTATATAGATATACATACATTGTTATTCAACCGAAAATAGTTAGTGGTCGTCATGCCTAGATGAGTAATATACAATATAAAATAACCCAAAAACTATTTCCAGTTTTGCTAGCAACTCTATTAAATGTGATTAAGTCATAAGACAATGAATAAGACATATCCAACGTGTTGAATATTTATCAAGCAGCTTTACATGTATATACAAGTTTGTCCAATGCTGGACATAAGCCTCCCCTGTAATCCTCATGGCATTAAATCGCCATGATAAGAAGGTTTTTTGGGCAACAAATCATCACGCTGGCCAGACGAGTTGATGAATATGTTATAAAGTGATTAAACGATAAAAGTTGATAAAATTTACTTTTATCTTGCATTTATTTACAAATTTGAATCTACATAAAAATATGTAATACACAAAGTAATGAATTAGAAAATGTTAAATTACTGTCAAAATGGCGACTTCGAAAAACGTTAATTATCAAAAACTAAAATTGATTTTTTTACTAAATCTATCTTAATAAAATAATAAAACAACGTAATAAAACAACAATTTAAGTATATTGTATATCTATAAATAAAAAAGCTTTATTTTAACAAATTTAATCGAACATATCCCGTATTTTAATTCAAACTTGTCAATCGAAACGTTAACCTAACCTATTTTCGTCAAAAACATAACCTAAAAAAAATTATTTTCTGATAAATTATAAAAAGATGAAATTAACTCAAATTTTGTATCGTCAGCACCTTGGGAGGCATATTAAAAGGCATTGGAGAATTCAAGGTGTGAAAAAACCGCATGATTTGGGTACAAGAGCTGTTCTAGAAGCGCAAGGTATAAACGTTGTAGAACCAGAAGATATTTTAAAAGAAAAACGGCAATATGAAAAGTAATGTTTTTACCAAAATTTTCTTTCTTTACATATATATTTTTATTATAGGATTGAAGTAATTGGATTTATACCAAAACCATTACCTTTGGATGAGACACATCCGAATTGGCACGAAAGAATTTGTTACACCTACAACAATAATAATGTTCTTTTGGAGGGTTTAAATCAAGCTAAAATCTTAACAAATACTGTTGAGGTTAAATCGGGTTTACCAGATAATTTGGTTTTAAAAGATGTTGAAAGAAATTTTAATAGTAAAATGAGAGAGATTATTAGATATTCTCATATTTTTGATGCAGAACAACAAAAATTGCCTAAAATTAAAGATCCTTTAAGACCAGCTTTTAATTTTCCAAGAGTTTATGGAATAACTGAACAAAGAGTTAAAAAATTATTAATTTCAAAGATTTTAAATTTAATTGAAGTCAATTCTGATTATGAAATAACAAAAACTAGATCGATATTTAATGATTTAACTTTTTCATATCCTTTTGTTAAGAAGGATAAATTAATTCAATTCGAACTTAAAGCAGATACTTTATTGACTAGTTCAAAACCTTTAAAACCAATTTATGAAGGAGATTTGAATAATTTAAAGTTACCTGATATTTATCCTTCAAATGAAGTTATTTCTTTGAATAAAGAGCATATTTATGAGATCAAAAATGTGTATCGTAAGAAATTTTTAGTTTTAAATAGTGGTTTAGTATTGATAATAAATTTTTAGCACTTGATGTTACAAGAATATCAAATTCGCACCCTCACACATTATTTATTCATTATAATACAACAGAAGTTTCGAATTTATTTGAAGAACAAGTTTTGGAGACTCAAATTTTTGGGAGAAATTTATTAAAAGCTTTTACAATTGGAGCTTCTTATGGTAAAAGACTTTATGGGGTGCGTAAATTCTTTTAATTAATAGAAAAAGTTTGAATTGAAATTAATTAATTGATTTAGGAAAAAATTAAGGATTTATCCAAACCCATTGTACTTCAATGTATCCAAACGAATGGTAAATGGTTTAATTTTGGGATTTTACAAATAAATACGTTGGATTTGTTAAGTGATAAAGTAAGAAATGTTTGGTTTCAAAGTGAGAATATTGAGTTATTTAATAATTGTGGATATGTGGATGGAAAACCGACTTTGGAAGGGTATAATAGTGAGGTAATTAAACATATTTTGGGGTTCTACAATAATATGTAATTTAAACTTATTTGTATTTAATTAGTATAAATAAAAATTTAATAAGAAAATATAACGATTTTGTTAAATATTTTTTGATTTTTGTTAAAATCTCCAGATATGTTCCATCAAAACCAAAAAAACTTAAAAAGATATTTCATTGTGACCTCAAAAAAAATTTCTTAACACTGTTAATTTAATCCACACACATATTAACCTACCAGCTTAACTAATGTTATTATTATTACTATTTATAATTAATTTAATTACACATCTTACGTATTAAAAAAAAAAATTAATAGAAATATTTTTCTTATGGCGATTAAAATTTTGATTTTGAATTCTAACATTTCTGCTAATAAACGAGAATGCCAAAAAACAAATATTTCTAGTAAAACAACAAATTTAAACATTTATACAAACATCAAAAGCAAAAAACATTTTTTTTTGCTTTCTTTTTTCTTCTAAAAGGCGAGTTATACAATCGCTGTAAAAATGTACAAAACAACTACGGATTGTTTTCAGGGGTCTATTTCACGAAAGTCACATAATATTCAAGTATAACTTTATGTTCTATATTAATTTGTAATTTCATTTAACACATTTTGAATAAAAACCTAAATTAATGCGTTCTTGGACGCGATTTAGATGTAATTGAAATCATTCAACTGTCAAAAAAAACAAGAATTATGATTTAAAATTTACTTAAAATTGTTGCATGCTATAAAACGACTTATGTCTTATATTAGAAGTATAAAGGTTTCATTTAAAATCGTTACTATAACATGTGCCTTTCGTGAAAAAGTTATTAAAAACCCACGAGATTAAAATGGGATTTCAATTTCAATAAATCAATATTTGTATGTGTGTGTTAATCATGTGTTTAAAATCTGTCGACTAAATATAAATATCACATCAAAATAGTAATGTAAGAAATCACAGGGAGCTTGGCACACCAAACTAATTGTAAGTTCATTTTATTACGAACATGCTTACCAACCTACAATTTTTTGTTTTTCAAAATTTCTGTCACACCGAAGCTCTTTTTATAGTAGACCCAGAAGATAATATCGTTTGGGATGGTTGATAACTCGTATCTAGTAATAATTCTTGATTTTCGCTATGCGTTAATCCCAAACAATTACAAGAACACACTGACATTTGGTCGATTTCCGTTAACTCGCCTGTGTGATGTCCCGCTAATAATTTTCCATTAACGGCCATTACTTCACCGTCTAAAGTTAAAACGTTATTTGATGATGATTGCATACATTCATTATCATCTCTTCTTATATCTTCAGCATTCCTAGAGAAAAAAGGATTATTAAGCTTTTTATGCTTATCATAAATGAACTTACATCGTCATAAATCTTAAAACCAACAAGTTAATACTTGCTGCAACAACTGCCAAACCAAATAATATAAAAACTAAACTAAGAGCGACATATCCAGGTTTATTTTGTAAGGCGTTATCGTTCTGGAATTAAAATAAATTAAAAAAAAACGTTAAGATAACATTAAGATTTACTTGTAGCGCAACATAATCTCCAAAACCAATTGTGGTTAAAGTAACGAAACAGTAATAAAAACTATCAAAATAAGTCCATCCTTCATATCTTGAAAAAACGGCCGCTCCTGTTGTTATAATAATTGTCGATAAAGTCGCTGTGGCGCACATTAAATTCATTTCTGTTGCCTCTATTCGTTGACAATTAAAGTATTTTTTAAATTGTCTTATTACAACCGAAGCAAATTTGTTTAAACGTTCACCAATACTTTGAAACATTACCAAACCTAAAGGAATTCCAACCTAAAAATTACAAAAGTTATCAATACAGTAAAGCTTTAGATATATATTTTAATACATATGTATAAATGTTAGCGGTTATAGATAGAATCCAACTTGGGTTATTCCCCAAGTTAAGGATGGAAGCAGCCAGAAGGGCGATAAAGTACAAGGATGGGCTGGAACAGAGGAGCGACTTTAAGATTTTGAGACAATGTTGGAAGGAGATTAATGCTGGCGTGGAGATGTAGGGAACATTACACTAGACTAGGGTACTCAACAGAGGAAGTACAAAGAAGAAGAAGGGAAGGGTCAATATTGTGGAAGGAACTGGAGAGTAGAGATAGAGACGTGGAAAAGCAGGAACGACGTACTCAGGTGGAAGAGGGGAGATACAATAACAAGTATAAGACATTAATAACGGAGGAAATTTGATGGAGAAGAGTAGAGGGAAGGCAAAAAGTATGATTGCACGATTTAGGTGCGGGAATGAAGAAAGAGCGAATAAATATTGGATGGAGGATGAGAAGAGCATATGCTGAGATGTAACGAGTTAACAGAGGGAGGCATGGAGTGAGAGCGCGTGCTGGGTGGAAAGAGAATAATTGTAATTATTATTCAATGCTAGATTATTGTATGTATATTTCTATTAAACTAAAACTAGAACTAACACTAGACCTACAACTAGAAACATTCGGGTTTAGCCGTCTTGAGAGACGTGCGGCTAAATCCGAATGTTTCTAGTTCTAGATCTAGTGTTAGTTCTAATGCTAGTTCTAGTATTAGTTAAAAACTAGAACTAACGCAATTTTTCATATAACGAACTTTTGGTTATAACGGACACTCCCTTCCTCATATTAATCCGTGATGTCGAAGTTTTGCTGTAATTGAATTTTAACACGTTGGCTGCCATGAGGATCACTGGTGTTCCTCACAAAAATTTCACTAATATGCCGCGAGGATCAGAGTGGATCCTCAAGTCGAAACCAGTTTTGATGTTAGTTGCTGAGTATTTTCTTCACTTTCTGTTATTTATAACGACCAAGTGCTGATTGATAATTACAATTTATTTATAATGTTACATATTTCATCATGGATTCCAAATCTGGGCCCAGTGACGTAACTAGACGTAGGCCTATAAAAAAATTGAAAGAACATGAACTTGCAGTCGCACTTGAGAGTGATGATGATTTTGAAGGAAGCTTATTCTCATTATCCTGCTCGGAATTTCAGGTGGATCCTGAAACGTCACAGTTCAAGAGGAAGCTGAGCAAGAGGAAACAGAAGAATAGCAAGAGATACGTGTGGACAAATTACCACTTCATATACAATTTTTAGGCTCAGAATCATACAAAATTGATGACATTGATACACAAAATCAAGAAAGTGTAACTGCCATGCAGATATACCGGAACTTTTTTAACGCAGAAGTTTTGAGTGTTACTGTTCGCGAAACAAATAAAAATGCTGTTAACTACTATTCAAAACAGTCGACCAAGTCACTCGGCCAGAATCAATAAATGGGTGGATACCAGTGAAGATGAAATGTGGAAGTTTATTGCTGTCCTTCCTTATATGGGATTTGTAAAGTATCCTAAAATAGCTGATGCAATAATCAGCATTTTATACAAAAATTGTATCATTCCAAAAGTAATGAGCAGAAATAGATTTCAACTACTGCTGAGATTCGTTCATTTTGCTGATAATTCGACGACTAACAAAAATGATTGACATGATGAAGAAACGATTCAATGTCGAATATGTGCCATGGAGAAATGATAACTGTTGATGAAACAATGATTCCTTTTCGTGGCCGATTATTATTTAGAGAGTTCATTCCCAACAAAAACCACAAGTATGGAGTGAAAATGTTCAAGTTGTGCAATCCAACTGGTTATACATTGAACATGTCACTGTACTCTGGACAAACAGTGACTGGACTGCAGTCTGCTGGACTTGCTGAAAGAGTAGTTATGGAACTTGCAGAGCAATATTTATCTGAAGGAAGGCTTATAGTAGTTATCCACTACTATATATACTTTTATATATCAGTGCCATTGGCAATTTCAGTTTTACAGAGAGATACCCATTTGTTAGGTATCCTAAGGAAGAACAGAAAGTACTTAACAAAGGATATCATGACAAAAAAACTAAAAGAAGAAGAAGTGGTTTCAAACGCCATGTTTACTTTCTAAGCACAAAACATACTTTGGAAAAGATGACAGTTGCTGTTTTAGAATACAAAAAATGCAAGCAAGGGATAGACCTTTCAGACCAAATGTTAAGTTATTTTACGCCCTTGAGAAAAACCATCAGATGGTACCACAAAGTAGCTTTTGAGGTTCTATTGAATACTGCTGTAGTCAATGCGCTTTTCATTTACAATCATTTTCACAAAAGGGAAATTCATATTGCCTCATTCAGGGAGATGCTTGTGCTTGAGTAGGTATTGAAAAGAATGACGTTACACCAAAACGTTCAGATTCCCTGTAGTACAGCTTAGTGCAAAGTGAAGAAAAGGATAACAACAATCGGCAAAAAAGAAGAAGATGTACAAATTGTTACGCAGAAGCTGCAAAAGTTAGAAAAAATTAGTTCCCACAAGATATCATGTTTGTGACAAGTATATGTATCTTCCATGTTTTACAAAACTTCATTGAAAATGCAAAGATAATAAAGATAATTTTTGTAATTCAAGATCTCATTGCACTTGAGTAATCCTGGTGATCCTCATGGCACTAAAGTAAAACAGTTGTTACTGCAGTGCCATGAAGATCACATTTTTTTTGCTTTCTACCCTCATATATACCATTTACATGTAAAAAAGATGTCGTTTTTCAAAAAAGAAACTCTAGTGTACCATTTTTTTACAGTGGGAATTACTTAATTGGTTGTATGGTGGCAGCCAACGTGTTAAAAAGCTTTATTATACATATTATTCATTACAGTAATTATTTTCCAATTAGAAAACCGTATCATTTCCATCCAATTTAAGTGAAAATGTAGATTTATCATTTAGTTCACTTTCCCTTTTCTTAATTTAAGTTCACTTACCATAGCATATCCCATACAAAACGCTTTTCCCCCAGCTGTAACTGGCGTTGAATGACCGTAACCTATCATTGCTAAAACAACGGTCGCAAAATAAAACGATCCAGCAAATTTCCATTGTGGTCCAGCTTTATGTGGTTTATATTCGGTTATTACAAGTTCCATCATTTTGTAGTCATCGTCTGATATGTTGTATTTTTTCTTTAAAGCCCCGCTAATATCTATACATAATTTTTAATTTTTTTTTTGAAAGATTTTTTAAAAATTTAAATACCTTTTAGCATTCCATCACGGATTAATTCCTCTTTAGATTCCAATGCATCAAAAACGGCCGCACCCACTAATAAATAAGTAAAAGTAGTAATAACCAACGATAAAGTTCTAACATTTTGTCGCTTCATCTTTTTTTTTGTTGTCTCTTATCGATCGTTAAGTTTTCATATTCTAGCTTCAACTTGTACCAAATTTGTGAAGCTACGACTATATTTTTTTTATTTTGGTGGAAGAGAAATGGGGGGAAAAATTAGATTAGAAACGGATCGATATCAACCAGGTGCCACCCGTTCGGTGCTCTCGTTATTGCCAACTTACTTTCTCTTTCTGCATCTCATCATTATCGACAAGGCCCTGTATAACAATGCACCCACATAAACTATCATTAGAAACGTAAATAATTGAAAAAATCGAAAATGTAGGTTACTCGTTGGTGAATTAGGAAGCTGTCTTAAATGGAGATCCCTTTGACGGGAATCCATGGGAGAAACAACTTTGTGACCTTTCATCCAGGGTTGATAGATTTTAACTGAGAGAAATGTTATGTAAGTTAACGCTTGCGCAAAAAATACTTAAATTTAAAGAATTAAAACAAATTTTGGGGGGAAATACACTTAGAAATACATCAATCATGATCATTGATAAAACAGTAAGAAAAGATATGCCCAAGAACATTGTTTTATAATCAAATAAATCTTTGATTTGGCAAATTACAAATTACAAAAGATAATGGCATTAAGTTCTGTTATTGTAAACTAATATTCAATTAATGCTAAAGGAAACTACCCCAGCAGCTTTCACAATAACTATGTCAAGTTAATCTTTCTTGCATAAACCGATCTAGAAGTATTACTCTGAAGCAATAATCAGCCATTATACTGATAAAAACATTGTTCTTACATTTTCTCTTCAATCATTTAAATAGTTTTTCTAGAAATCTAGGTGATTTATACTTTATATGCAAAGATTTTTCAGTATTTATCATGCAATTGGTGAATTTTAAATCATTTGTTAATTTTTTGATCTAAGGACCATAAAAAATATCGCTTTTTCTCTTTTCAGTATTCAATTTTGCAAAAAGTTTGGTAACATACTGGAATCATTTCCCATCTTTGTCTGAGCTTTAACATACTGTTTCCCTAGCGCTGATTTAATGTAGATTGTATACTTAAGATTATCACAAATGTCAATCTTTCTTAGTCCAGTGCTCTGATTTAGCTCTGCTGTCGCATAAGCCTTTAAAGTTAAACCTAATTTTGTTCTTCCACGATATATAAGTTTCTGAAGAATGTTTAAAAAACCTTCCAGGATGTTCCTCATTTGGCTCATGTATCACAAAATGGTTACCAAACCTTTTTGCCAATTCCAGTCTTTCTCTTATTACATCGGTGTTTAGAACAGAATCGTTTTCTTGATTATCACTGGGTTCTATGGGACAAGGAATTTCAAGAGCAACCTCTAATATTCCATTTTCGTTTAAAACTTTGTCGGCAAACAATTCAGCTCCATCAATTGCGTGTGCCATTGTAATGGTGTGGGTCCAAACATGTTGGTCAAGATCTGGCCAAGTCATCTAGATCATTGAGCGTTGATTGAGCAATCTAGGTTCATAAAGGCAATAAAAGTCACTATTCTCTCTGTCTTATAAATGTTCTGCAGACGTTAGATTGGATGTAGTGGGTTAAGACTGGTACTGACTCATCATCAATCAGAACGGATCTAATAATAGTATCATTCTGTGAGATAAATTCATTTAGATTGATTTTCACAGTTTATTTCTCAACACAAAACTTCCTGTGTTGGTCTTTTATACTTAAACAGATTTTATCAAGTCAAATGTTTTACAAAGTCAAAAACATTGAAGCCACTTATTTATACACCCCTTTCTTGATGAAAAAGCGTTAAAACAAATTGACACTAATTAACTAAATTAAGTATTCTTTTAAAAAAATCAATTGTAACAATTTTAAAATAAAAAAGTTTCTATTTTTGCGAAAGTCCAATATTTTCACCAAACTAATAAATTTAATTATTAGTAATTTACCATTGCACATTGTAAAAGATGTCAACAACCGCAAAGGTACAATTTACGCCGAAAACGAAACGAAGCGAAAATGACTGCAACCGGCTATGTAACCAATTAGCTAACGAGAAATTTCCACCTCTAAACAACCTAGAGCTAAGCTCAATTTTCAAACTTCTCAAGAGTTGGTTACACGTTCAGTACTCTAATTCTATTAGGTACTCGTATTTTAGATAAAACTAAGATGTGTCAAAAAAGTAGTGAAAATCATCAAAAATTTCAGTTAAATAAAGAAGCAAAAAAATTTCTGGATGTTTTGATTTGTGAAGGTGGAAAAAGCCGGTGCGATGAAACTTCGGAAGTTTTTCGAAGTGGAATGAAGATTCCTGAATATTATGATAAAGAAAAATTTAAAAGGTAAAAAGGAAATTGCCGTAATAGTTAGAATAATTAAAAAGAAATTAAAAACAAATGGATTTGGGACAAGGTTTAAACGTTCATTTTATTTAAAAAAAACTCACAATTTACTCAATCTACTCTTGCAAAGATAAAGTGAATTTAATTATCCCAATTTCAACATTTAATAAATGTATATTGCCAAACATTATTATTATTATTGTTTTTTAGAGGACAACAATTTTTTCACCGAAACATATTCGCGATGCTTTTCGGAAAATTTCTCGGCTTAATCTCAGATCTCACTTTAATATCATCTCAAAAAATTTTGGAACACACCAATCAATCTAATGAACCAAAAACAGCTTTTAAACGTTACGTTTCAACCATTTTTAGTATGTACACTTGGTATACATACGATTTAATACCTGGTTCAAAGTAAGTTTAAAATTAAACGTAAATTTGTTGTTAACTTTATTTTTCAAAGATCTTGGGAATCGTTAAAACGTATAAGAACAATTCACAATTTCGCTAGTTTAAAATGTCATAAAAATCAAATTGGGGAAATCGCTCAATATCACATGGCTTTAGCACAATTTGGTTTCATGGGATTAATCGTATCGAAAAGTGAGAAAATTGGAATTTTTCCAAATCAAAAAGAAATGGATGATTTTATACATTTTTGGAGGGTTATTGGTCATATGCTTGGGATCGAAGAAAAATACAACATTTGTCGTGAAACGTTTAAAGAGACGAAAGAAATTTGCGATGAGATAATCGCAGAAATCATTTCACCAGCTCTAAATGAATGGGACGAAAGCTTTTTGAAGATGACCAGAGCTTTAATTGAAGGAATGTGGTCGATGATGCCGGTTTTACAGTTTAAAGTATTTTTAAATTTGCTTTATCTGTTAATTAATAATAACAATCAAGATAAAGATGTTGAGATTTTACAAATGAACTATTTTGAGAAATGTTTATTAAAATTTCTTCAAACATTTATTTTTTTGTTAAAATTTGAATTACTCAGAAAGTTTATGAGGAACTTTATGTATGTAATTTTATTTTTAACACATAAATTTCCATTTTTAGCTTATTATAAGTATGGATTAAATTATAAACATAGCAAATTTGTGGAAAGTTCTAATTTTAATTATACAAATTTTAATTAAGTCAGAAATGAAGTGCTAAATTTAAATTTCTATTTATACATTAATCTAATAGATGGGGAAAGAAAATTTAATGTTTCAAAGTGATTTAATTATTAAATAAATCATTACAAAAACAATTTTATGACGAAAATAAAGTTTTCTTTTATATATTACCATCTCCTCCAATACAACATTAATGAGTATTTACATTACAACATTCATTCGGAGGCTACTGATTGATTAATTGACATCCGGTTGGGTTTTGGAGTTTGAACTCTTCCTTCATATCATGCTCTAGCCACAAAGTTTCCACTGACTCTTGTTGTATTATATACTTTCTTCTTTCTTCGGCTCCCTGTTCTTACAACTTTCTGTCCACAAGTACATACACAAGTAGAAATGATTGAGGATGAGAAGGATGAAAAGTCGCTACAGAATAATGTATCCTTCAACTTTATAATGCTCTGATCCGGAAGATACGGGACACCTATATATAAAGTACTTAATATTATAGGATCACCCCTATTTCGAGTTTGACAAAGATTAAATTAGGTTAATACCTCCCTTACACTGTACTTATAAACTTTTTGGAAATTCCGTGACAATTTCCGTCACGAATTCGTTACAAGATCATTAATAACAATGTTTAAATATTTCTGTAAATTGAAAAACGCGCCATCTATCATTTTTATCGAGAAACAAAAATTGGCGGTTTTTTCAAATAACTCCAAATTTTAAATAATACAAAGCTTATGTTAAACATGCAATATCTACCGTTAAATCCTAATAAAATGTAACAAAAAATCATTATTATTAAAAAATATTCTATAAAATTGATTTTTGCATGTCATAAATGAGCGAATATAAATAAATAAGCGAAGAAAGCGAAATAATGTCTCTATTGTAAGCTCATTTTAACCTATCAATTGTATACATTTCGCTTTATTGGAGCAGGTTGGTTTAGCGATGTAAATAATGAAAGTTTTCACTTTCAGTGGAAGACAGATAACAGATTTGAAAGCAGAGATCGAGAGCTATATCAAAGTTGCGCTTTCACTTCTTGTTGTAATACTAAATCAATTTTTTAATTTGTAACAACAATCCTTTTATTATTAATCTTTTTTTTGCCAAAATGTATTGTTAATTCTTTTATCGTTAAACTCGTTTTATTATTAGAAGTCATCATTGAGATTCAAGGTACAAAATATTAAAAGATGACAGCGATCTACGTGCTTGAAATGGAAGTTACTGGTATTCTTTCTTTATATTGCTGCGATTTAAAGGTGGGGAAGTCTCCTCCTCACCACTTTTACTTGTACAAGAGTCAATTTCACCGTTGGTGGGATCGTCAAAGGCCGAATATATTTGTAGTGTTTTAATAACAGTGGTTTCACATTGAAGAAAAATATTTTAAAATAATGATAAATTCTTCAGGTAATATTTTTTGATATTAATGATATAATTTATACGTGTAAGTAATTCTAGATAAATGCCACGCAAGTGAATTCGTCGATAATCTTTTAAATAAAGGAGGAACAATACGCTGTGATGAAACCAATGAGGAATTTAACAGATTTGAAATATTACCGGAATATTTCGACGAAGAAAAATTTAAATGGTAAATACTTTTACTTTTCAACTTTCTCTTTTAGTATCCGACCTCATTGGAATAATCTTCAACGAAACATTTTTCAGTGGGCAAAATTTTTTTTATAAACATCTCTATGCAATGTTTTTCGCAAAAATTCTTGGGTTAACAACAATTCTTTCAGTACCCGATTTAGCGCAAATTTTAAAATTTACTAAAATGTCTAGTGAACCACTTTCCGCTTATAAACGATATTTATCAACCGTTTTTCATATGGTAGCTTGGTACGATCATGATTTTCAACCAAATTCAAAGTAAATATATAAAATTTTGTATGCAATAAATTTTAACCATCATTTTAACCATTAATCTGAAAATTACTTCGATGATATCTTGTGATATCATATTATTAAGTTTAGAAAAGAAATGAGTTAAAAGTGTACTAACTTAGATGAAGCTGGAAAGTTAGGCAGTTATTTATGGGTCCTAGTTTCGACTAATTTTTAAAAATTTATCATATTTTGTCATTTCCCAACCAAGACGAGTCGAACTTTTGTTATCTCGAAGCAGAAAATGCCCCAATGTGTGTATTTTGTTAACTAACTTTGGTGATTTTACCCTCAATCTCATAGTCTTGATTCAAAAGTTGGGCTCTAGAAAGGAGTAAGGATTTTTGACGATCTTCAATTAAAATACTTCATTATAACAAGTGATCTTTAAGGCAGTATAAATCATAGAGGAAAAGGTGGCATGTCTTCAATGATATCAGCCAACTGCCTAGTATGTTTCTTGTTGCGGAGAATTTACTGATTCCTTATTTACTGATACCTTATCCGAATTTAGGCATAAACCTGACCCGGGTTTGGGTATCAATCCATCCAGGATTTAGGCAGTAAACTGAATCGAGCAGTTTACCGCAGCATTAACTTAATCCGGGTTTAGGCATCAATCTGACTAATCTGGATGATAACCTTATTTTATTTTTTCTGCATTCTTTTGCACGTAGTTGATCATCTTTAATGTTTTTTGTTTTAATTAATTCTGCTTTGTAATTGTGGAACAATCACATCTGTTTATTCTTTCATGGTAATGAGTTCGTTGTTCATCATTACTAAACAGTTTTCTGATTTATCGTGGCTTAAGTCTCAGGACAATCAATAAAACAAGTTATGAGTGTACAATTAGACCTGATAGGCTGACTAAATAGGCGTTTTCATCAAAATTGGCAACCACTTCCATGGAATATCCAAGAATCTCACAACACAAGCTAAAACATAAAAGCTCTATCTGAATAATCAGGTCCGATCAGAACTACAAGATACAAAAGTGAAATCTACTTTTGATAACTTAAAATTCTTAAACCAAAAACAGCTTCATCGCGTAAGAAATCCTTAAAATTAAGTCTAACTCATACTTGTCTAAAATCAATGACCTTAACATTTGCATTAATTGTTTCCTTTATGTAGGCTGCTAATACTGCTTAGTTAGTAATTATTCGGCGTGTTTTGGTCTCTAATAAACGTATCTTTATTAGGAAAAATTGGCCATACCAAGAAATCGAATTTGGAGAGGCACTTTCGAACTAAATATTAAGTACTTAATTACTGGATGCAACCATCCAATCATGTTAATATTACAAGTCTTGTGGTTACTCAAGAGACGATGTGTACACAAAAATTTATTTTATAAATGCATCCAGAGAGGTATTAAAGATTTGAAAACAATTTACACTCACAATTTATTCTTTAAATAACCACACTATCTATACACTATGTTGGAGAATATTACGGTAAATGTTCATAATCAGAAATACTAAATAAAACTGAATAAAACCATTGAACGACACAATGTCTACAGTGAACCTAACTCTTATTAAGTTATTTGATATCAACAATTGTTTCAAATACGATATTCACTTTTTCCGCTAAATGTGCACATTTCCCTACTTGAAACCAAAATTACAATCATGGTTTAATTGACTATGTACGAATTGTCAGTTAGAATTGTCTTATACCCTTTCGTATTCTTAATTGATGGTTAAAATTTGTTGTGATACAAAAACTTCTTAATTGAAACAAATCATTAATGAATTTTTATTATTTAGAGTTTGGAAATCAATAGAAAAAGTCCGCTTTAAACACAATTCAGCAAGTAAAAGATGTTGTTCGGCAGGTTTTTCAAGTATCTCTCAAAAAAACATGGCTTTAACCCAATTCGGTTTTATGGGATTTGTTATTTCTGAAACGGAAACTGTTGGAATTTACAACGCGTCTAAACAAGAATTGGAAGGTTTTATTCATATTTGGAGAATAGTAGGATATTTAATGGGAATGGAAGATCGTTTTAATATCTGTAGGGATTCTTTGGAAGAAACCAAAGGAATTTGCCACGAATTAATTCGAAGGGTTTTTCGCGAAGAAGTCCGCCGACAACACCAGGATTATTTAAGTTTAACTTCGGCTTTAATAAATGGAATGTGGTGTATGATGCCAGTTATGAATCATCACGTTTTTTTGTATTTTATAAACGAAATTGTTTGTAAAGATAGATATTTACCAGAAAATGGTAATAATAACGAAATTAATAATGATTTTAAACCCTACGTTTTAAATGCGTTTCAAAAATTTTATTTATTTTGTTTAACAACTTTTTTTTCTTTGATGAGGTTTACTTTATTTAGAATAATTCACGTTTATAACATGTATGTTGTATTTTGGTTAATGCATAACTTCCCATTTTTAGCTTATTATAAATATGGAAAGAAAAATTCTCACGTTGAGATATTTGATTAATTTTTTATAAACAAATTTGGGTGAATAAAATAAGAGTTCAAATATATATTATGCTATATTTATTATCATAATATACAAATCTTAATTTTTTAGACTTACCACTTTGTACATATCTTTGTAAAATTAAAACTTAAAAAAATGATTAAAGGCAATAAAGTGCAACTTAAATTATTAAGCGAGAACAATTGCATTTTAAATCTTTACAGAGTAAACGGTTTTTTCTTTCTTGGAAGACACCCACGAATGCAAATCACGACACAATCACATTAAACAATTAGTATTTAAAGAAAAAAAAACGATTTCCATAAGGAAATAAAATCGGTTTGGAGACGAGCTTATCACAACTGAAACCTTAAGTATATCACACTGAATTAAAAATATATGTAAATTAATAACTTAAACGGCCGGGAAATTGACGTATAATTTATTTAATTAAAAAATTGATTTAGCTAAATTTGGCGAGACTCATTTAAGAGTCATCAAGTCCACGACAAATCGTACCCTTTCCAGTTCCAGCCTGGTGCGAGGAATACTGTTCGTTTTTTATAATAAAATGTTACCACACCACGATATGCCATGCGAGGTACACCAGCCTATAAAAAATTATTTAAAAACCTAAACCAAAATTTTAATTTTTTAATTTACCCTAAAATCATCCATTAATCCCATTCCCTTAGCATTACTTTTAAAACCATCCTTAGTATGATAAACAATTCTAACAGGGCCATCACGATCGATATCGCCCAATTTTAAATTTTCAAACGTCTCAACTGGACTTTGATTCACCGTCCGTAAAAAATCTTTATCATAAGTCTCCTTTAATAAGTAACTTAAATCCATTTTGGTAAAAGGCACAAACTTATCATTTAGTTTTATGAATTTTAAATGTTTATCGAAATACATCCCGTTTGAAACGCCGATTTTCCCGAACGTTTTTGTCCGGGAAATTTCCGGTCGAATACACGCTCGGTCTTTACGTTGAATAGGTTGACGAATCCAATCATCCCAATACCTAAATTAAATTTATTTCAAAATTTTATTTATGTTTAATATTTTATTAATTACGCTTTTGGCCATTTTGTTGATAATTCCATCCAAACGCTTTTTGTGAGCATCCAACCTAAGCCAGGAAAAAAGTCGGTGCGATACAATAACTCCGGTTGACCCGAATTAACCAAACCATCTTTTCCATTATCGTTCCACGCGGAAATGCACCATAACGAATCGTCTTGAAGTAGTAACGGATACGTTGCCATGAAATATTCAAAAAAATCTGGAGATACTTCCAAATCATCTATAAAGATTTATTTATAACTTTCTTTTTAATTCATGGTTATTTTATATACCTTCCACGATTATAGCTACATCGAAATTAAAATTAAAGAACGTTTGATTTAAAGCCCACCCGTAATGCCTAGCAATTTTGAAGTAACCCTTAAATTTCTTTTCGGCCGGTTTTACTGGAATTTCCGACTGATCTGGCTGTTTTATTAATGTTACTTGAGATCCATAACTTTCAATTATATCTGATGTTGGAGCATGATTACAATCCTAAAAATATGATATTTTAATTTCTGTATTAAGATTTTTTTAACAGAAATTTTTATCAATCACAGCAAGAAAAATCAGTTCAAATAATTCTAACAGAAAATGAGATGTAGATTAAGTGATATAACCCACGAAGTATTTTCCCAAAACCTCAAATTTTGTTTTATGACATCCTGAAGTTGGTATGTTTGAAGATAATTTTTCTATTTTTGCAATGTGTAAGTCGATAAAATCTTCAATCGGATTAATCTATTTAAAGATAGATACCAAAACTAAAATCCCAAGTGGAACAGTCAATTTCAATATTCTTAGATTCTTAGGTGTCAAAAATTAAAATCGACGACTGGAATCTCGATACCCTACCATATTTTGGTGTGCTCCAAGGAACCAAGAGTGGCCAATCTGACCTCAGCTCTCCGACTCTTATGAATACTGTTATTCCTGAAACCATCACCTCTTCATCAACAAAAAACGACATTGATAGAAACTAATTCTAAATAATGGAAAATCGCATGAAAAGGCACAAAAAATCGACATCGTACCGTTTTTAGCAGCCTAAATTGCAACTCTCCTCAACATTATGAGTGAACGTAATGTTTCCTACAGACCTTTTTCATCCCCATGTCATGTCTACGGGATTCTACACATCATTGTGTTGAAAAAGCAGAAGAAAGGATCCGAGGCAAGACCGCTGAGAAAATCGTACGTTGAAACAACACATCAAGGCATTGAATACAATTGATCTGTATTTCTAGATGTGACCAAAGTGTTCAACAAGGTGTGACAACATGACTTGCTCAAACACCATCGTTTCCACCTGCACCAAGTAGTTTAACACCTTCACAATAGATCAACAGAAGAACCATATATTAACTTGGTGATTAATCTATAGATACCATTGACTTTGCAATCACATTACAAAAAATGTACCGGTTAAACGATGATAGGCGAAGTCATCCCCTGGCGTAACATACCCAAATACCTAGAAGTCATCATGGATGATTGATTAACTTGCAGATCTCACACATAATGCGTCTATGACTATGTCATTGCGCAACAGATGCTGATAGTCTACAGAACTTATTTTACAAGTCGATTATTAACCAATGATATATCGAGATTAATGGACTCTTATACAGAGCAAATGTGTGGTGATTGTTTGTTGACTATTCCAGAAAATACAGTTTTTGTGGTTCCACTTCATGTGAAACTTAATATAATGAAATGTTTTGTAAAAACATGTTATGAGACGAGAAGTTTTTGCAGCTGTAGCCCAAATTTTCGCTTGGCTTAACAAGAACAAACTTAAGGGCCACCTTTGAGATAAAAAAATAAGGTTTTTTTTTCGTTTAAAGTGTATTTTAGACTGTCTAAAACAAGAATCCATTGACAGAAAAAATTTGTAGAACGGTTTCCACGTGAAAACGTAATTTTTCTAACGCTCTTGCTGGTGACTTATGGTATTCCTATCAACTTGAAAGGAGTTTAACGCTTAATTATTATTTTTTCCACAACAAAACGAGATAGCAGTTAAAATGCAATGTTAAGAATTTTTTCTTTCAGAGGCGATTTTGTATTGCAATGGTGGAACATTTCGCAGGAACTGGCAGCTATCTTAGTTAATTCCATGTCTCAGAGATTAGTAACAGTTCATGGTGCCACGGAATGCTTTATCAAATATAAATTTTATATCAAATCCAATTTGATTTAATTTTTAAATATATGCTATGTATAAGAACCTCCCACATGTAATTTTTTTAATAAATGCTTTTTATAATATAAAATATTAAACAATATGATCTCTACATATATGTTTGAAAATAAATCAATATTTCGTATTTAACCTCACTTTTTTTCTGTTTACAAATGTCAATAAATTTGAATCTATCAAAGAAAAAATCACCAGAAAATATCACTAGATATTTTGGCGGTAAATTTAAATTAATAATTATTATTATTTATTTATTTACTTATTATTGTATTTATTTTCGTTTGTTATCGTCAACACTAAACATACAAATTAACATTGAAGTTATGAGTGTATTTATTTCAAAATATAATAAAGAAGGGTTTAAGAACACAAAATTTACAATAATGACACGAAACTGTCGAATTGTCAATAACCTAACCTTCAAATTCAAAATTAAAATTGCCTGTGTGTG